AATTGCGATCTACTTCCGAAGAGCTCCTATTGTGCATGGTGTGATCCATTTCGACTGAGTAGTTTGAAGTGTATTGACCATGATATTGTATATTCTCTGATCAAACTGTTTCTACATGATGTTATGGTGCTATTCTGAGTATTCGACTGCAATACACTGTGTGTGTGCTTCACATTGAGTACCATGATGTCTGTGTACATCACGGTTCTAACAATGGCAGAGACCATGCACTTCAGTCCGCCCCGCGGCTGCAGCTGCTCTGCATCGCCGCCATCAGTCATACGTGTAGCTACTACTCAGTGCCGGTGACATCATGCTATCTGCCACGGGCCCGGCAATGCCAATGTGTACACCCGGCGTGCAAAGAGCTATGCCGGCCCCAATCCAGTGCCTTTCGAAACAACACCCACGGCGTGCGCCTTATCAAACGCGTCAAAGTCTCAACTCACCTCAGGCCATGATACATGTACGCTGATTTAGGCCCTACGCCAGCCGTTATCCACACTGGCTGCTGACAGAGGATGAAGAAGGCAGTACTGCCGGCTTCGAACTGCGCATACCTGCACCAAACATAGCATGACAGTTTTTAGTCTTCCCAGCTAAAACTAAGGGTGCGATCTTAAATTCTCTCGGAAAAGTTGGAGACTCTCCGAAAAGTTCGAGAGCTGTTCTTATATCCTCTCCGACTTTTAGGAGGCTCTCCAAAGCTCTCCAAGCTTCAGAGGTGGTTGAAACTTGGAGATTCCCGCGGTTTGGGATCAGCGCATGCGAACTACGACTAAAAAGCCACGTGTTCATCATTGAGTGTACGCATTTCCCTTTTCGCATACGCACACATGCATACTACATTCATCACTCAAGATTACGGCCCCTTTGGCGCTTCATTTTGCTTGACATGTGCAAAATATCTCCGAATTCTTCGAGACCCGTTCTTGAATAATCCCAGTTTCTTCGACTTCTCTTTTCTTCTTCTCCTAGAAGCTAGAGAATATAAGAACGCACCCTAAGGGTCCCTCCGGGACTGTAGTACAACCAAATGTCACTTATCCGGTGTTCAGTCATCCTTGTTGTTATAGAGTAGGTGTGTATTGATGTGCAAAATTTAATTAAATTAATAAACACAAGTGTCTGACACGAAAAGGATGCCAACGTTTAAAGGTATGGTGTAGGTGGACATGCATGCGGCAACAAATTCATATTATTTTATCTTGTTGATAAGGCCAAGGGGATATCAATTCTATTGTTGTATGATGTAGATCTACACTGATGCAATTATGTATTACAATCATCATTGTACAAGTAGTGCTATGATTACAACCGGCACCAACTACATAAATCATAATACTTACGTGACATGTATACAGTCCAGCATGCATGACTGAGCTTGCAGGAAGACAGAGTAGATCTTCAGTTCAGAAGTAACAGTTCAGACTGCGGTACCGTAGGTAGATCTACAGGCTTCGAGCTTCGAGCTTCATGATTGTGCGGATCCTTCAAATTTCGCGGATTTTTTTGCCATGTCGTGTCCACCGGATCATCATGATGTCCAGTGAGCCTGCAACTGCCACACTCAAACAGACTGTGTAGATCTACCAGCTGTACTGACAGCTGAGAGGAGAGATTGAGAGAGCTATACGACTATAGTCTGAGAAGAAGTCACAGTGGTTTGTGCCAATAAATTGTGGCAAAACATCACTTGCGGCTAGCTACAGGAGTACCGCAACGTGTAAGACGATTAGATAACTCAGGTGCAGACGTCGTGCCATACCCAACAGTATTCCAATATCTGGGTAAGATCGAGAGGGAGTAAAAAGCCTTGCAGATCTGCTGCCAAAGTATTTTTAGAGTTACGTACCTGTTCCTTGCAACCTTGATACAAACTGTCCGAGATGGCAATGAGTTGCAAGTTTCGAACCGTAGATATGCACACGTGCGGTGAACCTCTTCGTATTGTCGTTGAGGGAATGCCACCAATTGAAGGAAGAACAATACTGGAAAAGCGCGACTTCGCAAAAGCTAATTTGGATCATATCCGGCGTTTCCTGATGTTTGAACCACGTGGTCATACTGACATGTATGGATGTTATTTAGTCGAACCATCACCACCTGTACCTTGTGTGACTGAGGGAGATGAGGTCGTGAGTGACGACGTGAAAGCTGAGGAGAAAGCTCACCTGGCAGTTCTGTTCCTTCACAACGAGGGTTACAGTACAATGTGTGGCCATGCTGTACTGGCCCTGGCACGCTTTGCAGTCGATCACAAGTACGTGGACCCGGCAACGGCAGTCACGCGATGTCGTCATGACGACGCTCGGCCAACCGCACAGCCGAGTGCCACTCAGCCTGCGGGTGACACTGCCATGGTTACCGCATCAGCTGAGTCTGCTGCTGTTGAGTGCGGCGTGGACGCCGGCGGAGTGCGAGAAGTACCTGTGAACATCGAGTGCCCGTGTGGATTGGTGAGAGCGCACGTAGAGTACGACATGGCCAGGCGACGCACTGGACGAGCCCGATTCCGCAGCGTGCCGGCGTTTGTGTTGCATACAGACGTGTATGTCAACGTGCCCGGCTACGGCTCTGGTAGAGATGCCAGCAGCCATGCTGCAGCAAACAGTCCTGGTAGGGTTTTACTAGACGTATCGTATGGTGGCGCTTTCTATGCTCTGGTGGACGCGGCACAAGTGGAGCTGGATATCAGGACTGCATCGTTGGAGTTGCTGAAGAAAGCGGCCGCTGCAATCAAAGCTGCCGTGCAGGCATCCCTACCCATCACGCACCCGTATTCACCTGAGCTGTCGTTCCTCTACGGCGTCATCTTCACTGATGGCAAGGATAAGTGGCAGCAGGAGAACGACAGCGGTGCTCCCGAGCCAACGGCAAATGTTACGATATTTGCAGAGGGAGAAGTGGACCGCTCTCCCACCGGCTCTGGTGTAACTGCGCGCCTGGCTGCCCAGTACCACAAGGGACAAATAGCCTTGCAGCAACAGCGCGAGTTTATCCAGCCGCAGGTCAAGGGCAGCTCGTTCACTGGCACGGTGGTAGCGGAGACTCTGTACGGCAAGAAACAACAAGCTGCAGTGATTGTGGAAGTGTGCGGCAAGGCCAGCTACACTGGCGAGTGCGTGTTTCATTTGGAGGAGGACGACAACATCGGAGAAGGGTTTCTAATCTCTTGAGTGACACCATGACATTGATGGTGCAGTATAGTTTTATCTCATCCAAAGTATCGTTGAAGAGTCAAAGCCATAGTCATCGCGTCCGTCCTTCCCATTCTTCTTACACAGCGACATGGTATTGCACATCTGAACTTCAATTTATTGATTGAGCACACTGCTTGTAGCCCTGGTTCTCTGTTTTGCAACTGGAATATGAATACACAATACTCAATAGTGAACAAACGTTAGGTTTGTTTCATTGCTAGAAGTATTGAAGTGCTGAAACGAACTACGACTTGTATAGTGCTTCTCAATGAAATCCGGTCTCGTGAATCAAGGGTGTGCGCCCTGTGCCAGTTTGCATCCCAGTGTTCGCTGATCTAGGGCTGCACGGCGCCCAGCGTGGTGTTCTTTCGCTTGATCGGATTTCATTGAGCCGCACTGTGCGAGCTGGGGAGAAGTGCAATACCGGTATTATAATTTATATTACTCCCTGCGTATATCTGGAACAATCTGAACACATTGCAGCACCCCTGCATGCATACCAGTCTAGCATGGAACAACTGTAGCATTGCTGTAGGGTGTAACTGCAGCTACAGGCAGTTTTGGTCCTTCCCTTGATGATACTACAACAAACTGTAACCCTCACATCACACGACAGGAAAGGCAAACTACTGCCTGGCCTGGAAAAACAGTGGTTGTAAATCCTTCACCCTTGCAAGCTCTGGGCTGGTGCAATCCCAGCCCAAGTTGCTTTTCAAGCTTTCATATACGTGTTGTACTGGCACTGTACTGTACTAATCACACTTGCATGCTTGCTCTGATACAGCCCGGCGTATGTGCCATGTGCACTCGAGTACTCCGGTGCTACACCCTACTTTACTTGAACATCTCTTATCCGGCCACCTTGGCCTTGGAAGCAACTTTTTTCTTTGGCCAATGAGTGAGTGCTTCTTGGCCTTGGCCTACTTGTTGTGCACATCATATACCCGCTGCGGCGCTGGGCATGCAATTGGACTGAGAAGTACGGCCGCAATCAGCCAGGAGTATGAAAGATGAGTCAGAAGCACGACTCCCTGGTGAGGTGGATGAGGACGAGAAGAAAGGTAAGTAATAGTTATGCGTGGCCATCTTCGGCAATGGACTGACCCGCAATCTCTCAAGAGAAACGGCTGGCACTAACATACACAGTAATACACACACACGCACACACTTGTACTTCACTACAGTACTTGCTCATCACCAGAAGATGGTCACAACCCCCTCCCCCTCTCCCCTCCTGAGAGGGATCATAAACTGTACTTTTATAGTAGTGATCTTGGAAAGATGACTCCATTACCAAGCATTGTCCACTGAACTACATGACTGTACCCAGTGGTAGACGGTCGCCGAATACCAAACTCTGGGTGGCCTTGGAATCAGGATCCTGAGAAGTGCAGCCCCCACACACACACCACCACACACACACGCACACAGGTTCATTTACATGCGAGTGTGCCCATGCTCTCTCTCTCTCCCTCCCTCCCTCTCCCTCTCTCTGTCACACACACACACACACACACACACACACACACACACACACACACACACACACACACACACACACACACACACACACACAAACAGAGGTGCGGTTGTATGCTGGTGCAAATAGGCATGTTAAAGGTTAAAAACTGACGATGGAAAGTAATATTAGTTGCAACTTGCAAGTGACAGTAGACGTGGGCAGGAAAGGAAACTCATTCGCTGCCCACACCCGGTATACAGTGCGTTTGGCTAATCCTGGCATGATCATAACAGAGACGTGTAAAACTATTACATGTAATAGCAACTATAAGATGAAAATAAAAATCAGGCAGCAGTGTTAGAGCAAGAGATGGTTCTGAGTAAAAACAGCATATAACAATGCACATGGATTGACAATGTCACCATACCACGTACCAGTGAATCTGATAAAAAAATAAACAAGGACTCCGAGGGCAGGTCCACAAAGAACATGCCAGTCCAGGAAAGAGAGAGAGAGAGAGAGAGAGAGAGAGAGAGAGAGAGAGAGAGAGAGAGAGAGAGAGAGAGAGAGAGAGAGAGAGAGAGAGAGAGAGAGAGAAAGTGAAGGAGAAAGAGTGTCCACCAGGGACTTGAGAGCAAAGAGAAACAAGACAAGACAAGCTGCTCGGATGGACACATTCATATACAGCTAGACATTGCAGAGCAGGCAAGCATACTGGTAACGAATAACACAAGTTACTACTACTACTACTACTCTCTCCCTTTCATACACAGACACACACACACACACACACACACACACACACACACACACCGGGAGTGTCTTGCAATGCCATATGCACAGCTATGCTACAACGTACATGCAACATCCGTTGCTCGAGAAACTACATCCGTTGCTCGCAAGAAACTACATCTGTTGCTCGCAAGCAACTACATGTACCAATGAGCAATGCAAGGAGTCTGGGGTTAAATAATTGTACAAAATCAAGGGGGGGGGGGGGCTGACATGTCGGTCGACCTTGTCCGGCTAATACAGGCTTTAAAGTGTTGTACCTTTCAACACATATTGCACGGAAGTCACTGCACTTTTCAATAGAGGTTCAGCTCTGGACATGCTACTACTGTTTACAGGCTGTAGTACACTAAGCAGCCAGTGGACACGCCAAGCATACAGTCATACACCACTCTGTACAGCAACTAAGCAGCCCGTGGACACGCCAAGCACACAGTCATACACCACTCTGTACAGCAACTAAGCAGCCCGTGGACACGCCAAGCACACAGTCATACACCACTCTGTACAGCAACTAAGCAGGCAGTGAACACGCCAAGCACACAGTCATACGCCACTCTGTACAGCAACTAAGCAGGCAGTGGACACGCCAAGCATACGGTCATACACCACTCTGTACAGCAACTAAGCGTGCACATCTCCGCTCGCGCTGTGAGTACACGTGTCCGTGAGTAGACATCCGAGCAATGCATTGCCACACCAAATCAAAACCCAGCAACATGAGCACCAGCAGTGCAACTGGTGTAGTGTGTAGTGTATACGACTCACTGCTGATCATTGCAGTGCGCTAGTCGTGTGTGTAGAGGTCGAGCAGATCCTCAATAGAATCCACAGCTCCCATGGGATGACTAGCTGCAGCTGTATCGGCGTTCAAACCGGCCATGTTGAGTACATCGCTCAGGTTAATACTAGCTCCTGATTCGGCTTGCATCAATTCACCCATAGCACCCATGGCTGCAGCAACAGCCGCACTGGCATCCTGCACTACAACACCAGCAGGACTAACAACATCAGCATGAGACATGCTATGCACACTCGCCGCCGATGATGTCACAGCTACTGACGGCGTGGAGTGAGGCGGATAGGATGACATCATTGCCAGTGCTCCACTACTCGCTGCTTCTGATGCTGCACCACCTCGTTCCTACAGGAACAAACACCGACATCACCAGCACCACCGCCAGGAACACACCCACACAGCCAGCAAGAGACACGGATACACAGTATGTCACATAGCATACAGATACGCAGTGTACTTTGAAGTACGAGTATTCTTCTGTGTGTGTCTCACAGCAATTTCTGTTGGCGTGTACATGCACAAGTGGAGTGTATAATTCAACCGTGGGAACTGTGAGAGCTGTGTGTGAATGCATGTGAACCATGACAGCCACACAACTAACCCCAGTAAAGGCAGACGGCGTAGGAGGACTTGAAACATTCATCTTGCCATTGCCACCAACAGCAGACGACACCGATGCTGGACTGGCCCTGCGGTGGTGACAGCCGGTAAGCAAACAAAGCGGCAACACAAGTGGTCAGTGCAAGAAAGATGCTTGCCTGTCTGTACTCATCCCAGTGCAAGGCAATTGCTGGCTTTCACTGAGGCGCATCGGCACAATCTAAAATGTGATCCGTTAAGAAATCCTATTAAATTACTCGAGATAATCGGCTGTAGCAGCAACAACGTCGGGTAACCATAGTAAAATCACCAAGTGACTACAGCAACAGCAGCAGCAGCAGCAGCAGCAGCAGCAGCAGCAGCAACAACACATGATGAACAGAGCCCACATCAACAACTGGGGACTGGGAGACAGCATCACAAGAAACACTTACACACAGTCCATACTGGCTGAGGTACTGCCGTTAGATGAGCGTGGGCCAGTTTCGGCTACCACAATGATGCGTGTGGCCACATAGCCTGAGCCTATAACACTACATGATTTCGGCACTGCGAGAAGAGAAAAAGCACACGTACACACGTACGCATCAACAACTCAACTCTAGCTCTGCAGTGGCAGTGGCCGCACGTGTGTGTGTGTGCGTGTGTGTCACTGTGTGTGTGTGTGTGTGTGTGTGTGTGTGTGTGTGTGTGTGTGTGTGTGTGTGTGTGTGTGTGTGTGTGTGTGTGTCACTGTGTGTGTGTGTGTGTGTGTGTGTGTGTGTGTATGTGTGGTGTGTGTGTGTGCTTGCGCTAACATGCCATTTACGCAGGCGCCTAAGCTGGTAGTGACTAGAAGGCCATTAACAATGAGTATACTATGTCATAGGATACTCATACCTCAGTTATCTGGGACATCGATGTTACAAGCACTTTGGTAATAGTAGGGAGTTCAATTGAAAAATCAAATTCGCGAGTTTTGCATAAAACGCTAGTTTTTCTAAACCGGGAAGAATCGAGAAACAACCTGTGAAAATTTGAACCCAAAATTCCAAGGCAATCTAGAGTTATAGTCGATTGAAGATCGGAAAACGGGGGAGAAAGTAGTCACAGAAGTAAATGCAAGTATGTATGGGAGCCGTGTGGTTTCCGTCCAGCACTGCACTATCTGGTGCATACATGGCAATACAGGATGTGTGCATGCATGCAGTGTGCACGCATGCCGTGCGCGCCGACTTGCACAAGTCACACGTTTTCACCGTCAGTGCTTCTACCAGTGTGCGCGCAGTTCACTCGATTTTTTCGTCTACCACCAGGAAATCCCCGTGGGCTGGTTTCTGTGATCATTTTCCTTCCACGGCGATAAAGCGCGAGCCTCAATGTTGTAGATTCCTCTTGGTTTAGGCTAATTCGAGGCCGCTGAACACGAAAATCGGGTGTTCCTCGCGAAGCCGAGTACGGATCTGGTCGAAATTAGTACTTCGAAGTGCACCCGCGCCAAGCGCAGAGGCATTATTCTTTGGAAGCATGGCATGTGTGGCACCATTGGAAAGGTAATGACCTCAGCTACCTAAAAATAGCATCGACAAGGCCGAAAAGGCCGCGGGAGAAGATACTCGGGCCGCGAACTGCATCTCGAACTGCAGCCACGAGGCGCCCATTCACTTTGTACAGGCGAGCTGTGACTGCACTTTTCGCTTTTCAGTGACCGGAACTGAACTCCCTAGTAATAGGTATACTGGGCACCATGTGGGCGAGTTATAGTAAAAATTTTACTACCGGTACTCTTTTGTCACTTTGTGTTAAAAAATGAGGTCATATCATATGCCATATCTCGGGCCTTTCCCCATTATAACGTGCCAACACGAGGCGGAGATGGATATTGGTACGTGAGACCCACGAAGACTTACCTTGAGAAGAAGCTGGAGGAGTGTAATACTTGCCAAACACTTCATCTTTATCCACGTTGGGATAGACACACCGAAGCTCAGCCAAATCATGGATGCTGCACAAAGAAACACAGGAAAACAAGAATAAATAGCATGGAGCACGGGTTCTACCAAACAAAGTAGTTTCTTTTACAGTGGTGATCCCCCTTGCCGCACAGTGTAACAACCAGCAATGGCTGACCGCTCGTGGACAGGGGAGCGAGCCCAGCTGTCAGCAGGTTGATACAGTTATTGAATGTAGAGAATTACACACACAACACACAACATAGCAGTAGGAGCCACACAATAAGCAACAGAAGCAGAAGTGGCAGCAGCCAAGGCAGCAACGCCATTCGAAATGCGCTTCTAACGGAGATACATACCGATCTGCCAAAGCTCGGACAGTGAAGTCCCTTGCAGTCCAAGGTTGCAGATGATACACTTCTCGAACACCTATAGATCACACGGTCAAGTAAGAAAGAAGAGTGCTATAAAGTGCTGAGAGCTGGAATGCTCCTCAAGCCAGTAACATCAGCCTAGGTTGACTTCACCCACCTGACATCGGCCTAAATTGACCCCAACCACCTGACAATGGCCAAAATGACTTCAACCACCTGGCATTGGCCAAAAATGACTTCAACCACCTGGCATTGAACTACATTGTAGATTGGCAGCTGAGCTCTTAGCAAAGTAGCCAACACCAGCACAACCAATACCATAATGCACTTATTTTCAGTGGAGTAAGTAACATTTTCGGCACCTGGATCACTTATTTTGGCGGTGTACAGTCAAACCTCGTCAGGACGAACACTGATAAGGCGAACTTTCCATTAGTACGAACTAAGGTCAATCCTATGGTTGGCCAGGCATCAATTCAAGTCAAAATTATTCGTTTACGACAAACTTCTGTACAGCGGACGTTCGCGAAGACGAACTATTTTCAAGTGTGATTTGAACAAAACCAGTATAGTCATGTACATGTAGTACGAACTTTTGGTCCACGAGCGTGTGCGTGCACTGGTTGCCTTTTTTTCTTTTTTCTTTTTCAATAGTCGAGGCCATATTGTACGTACAGTGACAATTGTTTTCAAGCGTGTTTTGAACACAATGAGCGCGGTGTACGAACTTTCGGCACAGTCGTGATTCATTGCACATTGTCATTGAAAGTACCTGTTTCTGGCTTCTGCTAAGAATAAAAATGCTTCCCATTTACCACAGCATGCACCTTCACATAAATACAACCCATATGATATGAATAACGATTTTTTGTCAGATCTGGATAAGAAGAACTCCCAATAAGACAAACAAACTTGTTCAGTCCCTTGAAGTTCGTCCTAACGAGATTTGACTGTACATTTTTCGATACCCACATCGAATAGCTTGATAGAAGATAACAAAACAAAAAAAGAGAGAGAGTGCGTGTGCGCGTACGTGTGTGTACGTGTGTGTGTACGTGCGTGCGTGCGTGTGTGTGAGCGAGTGAGTGAGAGTGAGAAAGAAACCAATGAAGACAGCACATTGTGCATTGACCTCCTGATAAGATGGTATTGAACACAATCATGTATGTAGTAAGGGCACTTGAAAGTGAACCCAATGGCATTGATGATCAATGTGCAACTTGCTATATTTCTCACGTGGAACGACAAGTATACTACATGTACTTTGAAGTAGAAAGCAATTTGCTACCGTACTGCTGTTAGCGATTATGGCTTGTGGCTGGAAATAGCCTCACATTCAACGTGTTTCTGAATGGAACAGCATGTCTTGTATGCCAATATCTCTGGAAACCACGGTACAGGCTGGTTCGGAGAGCATTCAGCAAGAAAAAGAACTGCACGCACTGTGACTAAATCCTACGTTCGTCTACATGCATGACTTATATATACATGAAAGTTGATACAACATGCATGACTTATATATACATGGAAGTTGATACAACATGCACGTGTATAGTGCCAGACTAACCTGTGTTTGGGTTGACCATGCTGTATGCTGTTGTCAAGCCACCTACTTCTGAATCACTAAACCTCAAGATGAAGTTATCGTGTAGAGGTTCAGACAGGAGCATGTCTTCCGCCTGCTGCCGTGACACAAAGCCAGCGATCAGGCTGAGAAGGACAAGTACAAACACAACCACAGTCACATGTACATGTTATGCACGGGACATTTCACATACCTATGCACACACACACGCGTGCACACACACACGCGTGCACACACACACGCGTGCACACACACACACGCGTGCACACACACACACACTCGCTGCCAAAACTGGCCACATGGGTCTCCCCGGGAGATGGGAGAGACATTCAAAAGGAATTTTGGAAAGATGACTCAATTGGCTATTGAACCGCCCAACGGCCGACACCCCCTGAAATCCCAAATCTCTGGGTGGACTTTGAAATGATCCCACTTTAAAAGGGCTCGCCATACCTCAGTAAGTGGTGAGGACCAGTTGCAGAAAAAGAATTGACGGCATCAGGGACGGATACACGCATGCACACACACCACGCACACACACACACACACACACACGCACGCACGCACACACATACGTGCACACACACAATCGTACCCATCCTGCCATTGCTGCTGGAGATGTCGCTTCACCAGATCACACGTCCCATAAAACCATTCCCAGAAAGTGAAAGATCGGCTTGGCAATGGCTCCTGAAATGGGAAAGCAACAAAACCATGATAAGATAAGAATATAGGTCCACAGGTTGTAGAGTGACTGAAGCCATACCAGCCCGCGCTCGAGCTCGGCCGACCCACGCTCCACATCTACGGGACCACTCTGAAGCCTCAACAGATCACGCTCATGAGACTTCCGCAAGGCGATGTCGCGGAGACCATCAAGATCTAGTTCTGTCGAATACTAGTACGAGGGACAGCAAGATCGCCTTATGGTATCTTTCGGCAACCTTGTGCAAATGCACACTCAATCGACCCTGGAACGCGTTCACCAACAGTACACCGTAACATGTGATTTACCGGAGGGTACCCGCCACACCCGTTAACCCCTACATGTACATTCAAGTAAATTACTCACCTTGTATAGCTTAGCCCACGAGAAAGATGTTGACAGATCTTCAGCTGAGACAGTAGAAAACACCCAAAAACAACAATCAGCCTAAGTACATGCCAGAACATTGAGATCAAGGCAATAAAACAGTATCAGCACACACTCACAACCGATGATGTCCCCCCCCCCCCCCCCCAAAGAGTTGGTATGGTAAACAAACACTGGCACTGCATGTGTAGTAAGTAGTAAGTGTGCAGGAGAATGTAATGCTACCTTGCCCAGGGAAGACTTTGCTGAAGACCACTGAGAGCAAGCTGTCCGACAAGCCACGCTGGTTGATTGATTCAAAGCGCAAACTGAGCGCATGAGCCATTCGGTGCCAGCAGACAGCATCCGGCACTAGAAAGGGATCACGGCCCTACATTGTGAGAAACAAACGCGCAGCCACACAAGCACACAAGCACACCATCCGTACATGATTATAACTGCACAGATATCGACATGTTAGCTTTACTTATGCACAGATGCAGACAGCCAAACGGTTGAGAAGCAGTACAGGTGGTGCAAACAGGGAAAGTCCCTGAACTGGTGCAGCAGGGAACCATTAAAGTGCCGCTAACAGAACTTCTAGCATTGCACAATTTCAAATACCATCCACAAAAACAGTTCGTCCACCAAGTCTGTGTGACAGTCAAAATGCTGTGCCCGTTAGTCAGCGCAACTACTAGTATCAAGTTACTATCAACCCATCAAGCAAACTGCTGATGAGGTTACCCACATGTACTTACTCAACCATATGACTAAGATACAAGAGGAAAACAGACAGGCAGAAGAACAGACACGGGAAATGGGGGATAGCAAGTGAAAGGGGCGAACACTAACAGGCACTGAGAAGGCATTGTCCCACATAATGGTGGCTTCTGCTGCTGGCGATTGATTGACATGAACAACCACCACCACAGGCAAGGATATCGTCTAGCAATAGGAGATAATACATGTTTGGGAAAGAAACACAGACAGAAGGAAGGCATTCATGCAAGATGTGATAGAGTGAAAGTGTAAACCTTAAGATGAACCATTTCACTGGAATAGGTTTCGAGTAACTTAGCCTGTGTTGCAAAGTAGGCACTTCACTGGCAGCAGTATACAACCAGATTCAAACACACACCATGTACCATGTATACGCCCGTCGCAAGAGAAGCACGCAAATCTGCAAATGCACTGGATGTGCACCCACAGATTTTCTCTTATAGCAACGATAGCGAACAAGATCTGAATGAGACAGATCAAGACTTGCGCCAGATAACTGTTTAATCCACACAAATGGCGAAGCCATGTGAATCGACCACCAATGCACACCTGGTCTACACCACACGGAGTACATCAGCATAAAACGGCCAAGACAGTTACCTATGCACACCCTACACGTGCTGGGGTAACCAGTATAGACAGCACGCTGCTTTGGTAGAAGCAGACACTAGATGCACTGGTACCTTGAAGTGAAATTGGAGTTACTTTACGAACCAGCCTCAGCTACTGAGTACTGGGAACCCAGAGCCAACAGACATACCAACAACCTCAGCCATAAAAGCTATTATAGTAACGACACACTGGATTGTGGAGCCGAAACTAGTCCAAACTTCCAAATGCTTTGGCAAGAAGGTAGACTTCCAACACACACACACACACACACACACACGCACGTGGACACACACGTGCACACACAGTTCTGGTACTTCCCTCAGCATAATACATGTGTGTGTTTCAAAGGATCACCCAGGGAAGTGAACTGCCTGAAAAGAAAAGAAAAATGCCAGACCCACCAAGACTCAATCCCGGGACCTTGCTTGTCATGAGCAATGCTCTAACCATCTGAGCTATGGGACCAGGCTGAACCTAGAATCCGTATTCTCAAGAGTACATAACCCCCCCCCCCCCCCCCCCCCCAAGAGTGTGCAACTCCCACATACCCTGCTGTCCCGACAGAATTTCAAGTTATTTATGATGCAAAGCTCCTTGCACCAGTGACTTACAACATGTGTACGGGTGTCAATGCATCACACGTTTGCCTTTGCAATAATTTGTACAGGATCAGATGGGCTTTGGTCCTCCACAGGTTCCGGATTCGTCCTATAATCCGTGTGCAGTGTGCAGTGCGCATTGCATCATAAAAAGGATGTCAACTTGAAATTCTGTCGGGACAGTACCAGTGCTGCCAAACCGTACGATTTTTCGGACAGTGTCTGATCTTGGAAGGCTCTTCCGAAAACCGGTCCGAAAAAGGAAACGTCCGAAAAGCAGCCAAAAATGTCAGGGATCAGTACTTTTCTATGCAGAAGTCCTGTTTTTTCACTTTTCAGCACGAAGGCACAAAATTAATCACTGTACATTTGCTTCTAAAAAGGCTAACGCGCTTGGCAGTGTGGAAGTGCAAAGTACAGTGTGTGAGCACACTCATCATTACAAAATTCAGGACAACGTCGGGGTGCCATATCGGTTACTATGGCAACGAAGCGAATTTTCATGGTATTTTGGCCGATATCTTGAATCCTCTGGAAAAAATATTGCTGAGGAGAAAAATTCGCACCATGTGGCCAGCCTTGGTATCTGGTGAGGAAGGGTGTCCGACTTTGGGCGAAAATTATTTGGCAGCACTGCAGTACCCATAGTGGGGTTGCACACTCCTGGGGGGGGGGGGGGGGGGGGGGGGGGGTATGAACTCTTGGTATTCTGTGTAGTCCTTTTGAGCATTACGTCATTGAGCACGCGTAACGGAAAAATGTGAACCTAATGGGTGTTGAGGAATCTTGGCCATTAGGCGATTGTATTACTTTAGATGGTTTTGCAGAATATTTTATGGCTATTTGGTTCTTTGGTTCTTGGCAAAGCCGTGTTCTGTAGGTTTCGATACCTCTGTTGTCCTTTTCAGTGCCGCAGCTGTGTAGGCGATGAGCTGGAGCCGTGGAAGTCACGATTTTTTGACTGATTCAGAGCACGGATGGCTGTGCAAAGTCACAATTGTACTTCTTGAACCAGTCCAGTGTCGTCGGTGGAAGAATGGAGGACCTGTACTCTTTAGTCGAAGAAGACGTTCCCGGTGCTTCTCTGAGTGGTCGTAGGCCAAGAGATCTGCACGTACCAGAGTTTTAAAAAAAGATGGCTGGCGTGCCGTGGTGCGTCTCGTGAGATTTAATTCGAAATACATACCGTAGCCCTTCGATTCATGGGCATTCCTTGTGAATATTGATTATTGCGCTGTTCATAATACCCTAAACGAATTAGCAATGACACTCTGTATAAGCGCTGCGGAGCTGTCCCCATCAGCGAGATGATCACAAGGCAGCGCTACAGTCTCGCTGGCCATATCTTTCGTTTGGCCCCAACTGCTCCTCCACAGTTGGCAGTGGATATGTATCTTCGCCTGGCCAACGACGAGGGCACTGAACGCTTCAGGGGTCGACCTCGGACGACTTTGGTAACGGTCTTGCAGACGGAACTGTTATCATGGCATGGACTTACCCTCCACCAGCCGCTAGATGTTGACGCAGTCCGCACAATGGCAGCGGACCGACAGGCATGGCGTGGAGCCCGCCCCACCTAACAGGACTGACCAGACATGTTGTATGCATATTCTATTTTATTTTATACTTTGGATGAAGTTTTCCATTAGTCATATTGGTGTTGTTGCTAACGGCTTTTGTTGACGTCACTTCTGTCATTTCATTGTATCGTATTACTCTTCAGACATCAATCCTGAATAGCATAAGCGAAAGTGGCACCCCCGCCACCTACGCGAACATGCTTTTAATAATAATAATAATAATAATTCAAAGGATCAGTCGGGGAAGTGAACTGCCTGAAAAGAGAAAAAAACGCCAGACCCACCAGGACTCGAACCTGGGACCCTGCTTGTCATGAGCAATGCTCTACCCACTGAGCTATGGGACCAGGCTGAACCTAGAAGGCGCTGACAAGTTTTTCACTCTCTGGCGTTTTTTTCTCTTTTCAGGCAGTTCACTTCCCCGACTGATCCTTTGAATTTGAAGTTCTCCCAATCCTTTCCAAATAATAATAATAATAATAATAATAATAATACAGCATTTGAGAAAGCCATTCACGATGCTCAACTCTGGTGCTCTGCATGGTACAGCAGTTATTTATTTTACTTGTCACTGTGGAGAAGCTGTGTCGTATTTCATACTAAGACAGTTTTACTGGACGGCATGAGATGATCATATGAAGAAACTTCTCAAAGAAGTTGAGCATTAGTGTAATAATTTCAATTCCCGGCGACCTTTCGCTTGCTGTTATTAATTAAGCAACGCAGCCCTACAACTTACTACGAATTGCATTTATCTTTTCTTCATGTCTCTCTTGGTGTAACAGGGTTGAAGACTATCTCAAGGAAGGATTGGACAAGAAAATTATCGATCCGGACAATGGTTCCAATATAGAGCGCAGGCGGCACCGGCTTCAGCAGGATGCAGACTCAGGCAGGATACCAGCCGTAAATCTTGATAGTTCTGTTACCTTTCCCGAGTCGGGTTGGCAGTGCAGCTTGAACGAGCTCCCAACGGTCAGCTTTGCCTCATAGTACAATCACTTTATCGAGAAGTCTATACTGGTGGCAGCCAGGCAGTCCATGGGCGTTTTAGATGCAATTTACAAGTGTAAGCTATGCCTGCGTCCAGATGGCACGGTGAACCTTGCACTATGCACATGTACTGCTGGGTTGGGTGGTGTGTGAAACCATATTGCAGCCTTGCTCTATGCACTGGAGGAGTATGTGCGCATTGGGCTACGTGAGGAGGTTGACGATTCCCCAACGTCCCGGCTTTGCAGGTGGAACCGACCCAGGCCTAGGAAAGTCGTTCCTCAGCCAATTGTTGACGTCAGGCTGACAAAGGCTGCATTTGGTTCCAAGCGTCAGTCTGCAAAGCGTAAACCCGTGTATAACCCCATCCCACCAAACAAGCGTCTCGTCAAGCCTTCAGAGTTGACAAAGTTTCTTGATGACCTGGTGGCAGGAGCACACAAGCGACCGTCCGAGCAGAAGAAGTCAAAACAAACTCGCCGAAGGCTTCTGCCGACTGATATACCTACGATTTTCGCTTTTCGGCCTGAAGTGACTAAGCGCAAGCCACTAGCAGAAAGACACGCGCTGCCCTCGGCAAAGAAGCCAAAGCCATCATCAGCTCAATGCGCCTCCAGTGTCATCACCCGGCTGCAACAGCCACGTCCCTTCTGCAGATGACTCCTCAGACGTAGTACTAGTTGAACACCAGCACTGTGAATGTGTTGAAATGCTGAGAGCAGAAATGGATTTGCTCAAGAGTGAGAACGAGAATGAATATTGGCGATCCAACGCTTTCTCAGGTCTTTGTGGTCAGGAAAACTGTGGAACGTGACTGCGTCGTCTCCAGGCTTTCCGCTGTTGGAAACACACTGGGTGACACAGCAGTGATAAGGCATACTGTTGACAGGCTTTTACAGGACACAGATCCACGCAGAACTACAGCATGCTGTCAAAATACGACCACCCTATCAAACAAAATCAAACCACTTCAGCTTCTTCTCCAACTCGAGTCATGTCAAGGACACCCGTTAGGTTTGAAAATGACCGTTACGCGATGATATCATCGTGGAACTCGCAAAAGGACTTTTGTTTGGTACCAAATACACCTTAGTTTGTGTTTGAAAATCTTTGTTTGACCCTGAATATTAGAAAGGATGCCACTGGCACAAGCAAAACGACTTGCCACAACCTTTCTTGTTATCACAACAGACGGGGAGATGTAAAGATGACAGGGCAAATGAATGGCTGACTGGTAAGTGAGGGATGCAGTAGGTAAGGGGTTACAGTGCTGTAGTCTACAGTCAAACCTCGTTAGGACGAACACTGATAAGGCGAACTTTCCATTAGTACGAACTCGGGCCAATCCTATGGTTGGCCAGGCATCAATTCAAGTCAAAATTATTCGTTTACGACGAACTTCTGTACAGCGAACTTTCGCAAAGACGAACGATTTTCAAGTGTAATTTGAACAAAATCAGTGTGGTCATGTACATGTAGTACGAACTTTCGGTCCACGAGGGTGCGCTGGCTGCCTTTTTTTCTTCTTTTTTTCAATTGTCGAAGCCATATCGTACGTACGTACAGTGCAGTGCAAATTGCTTTCAAGCATGTTTTGAACAAATAATCAGTGTGTTGTACGAACTTTCAGCACAGTCATGATTCATTGCATATTGCCATTGTACTTACCTGTTTCTGGCTTATGCTAAGAATAAAATGCTTCCCATGTACAACAGCATGCACCTTCACGTAAATACAGTCCATATGATGTGCGTATCGATTTTTTTGTCAGATCTGGATAAGAAGAACTCCCGATAAGACAAACAAATTTGTTCAGTCCCTTGAAGTTCGTCCTAACGAGGTTTGACTGTATTCAGATACCGGTAACTCACCCTCACAGAGTAGACGAGCTCACCACTGCCCATGGAGAATTTGGAAGTGAACAAGATACAGAACTTCTCCTCGGTGACAGCCTGTAACAAAACGAGACACGCACAATCAAACACAATGATGCAACACATTAGGCACCCAGCACCCAAAATGGCTCAGTACCACCAACCAGATGTATCCACTTTCAAAGTACAGGTACCCCTGCCACCCACCGGCATCCACCCACAACATCCATCAGAGGCATACATGTTACCAGACTACAGTGTACAAAATGCTTACAAGTTGATGCTCCGGTCCTTTCTTGTCTGGTCGCTTGATACGCTTCAAAGACTGATCACAATAACAGCAGCAGCAGCAGCAGTTGCAGTCATAACAGGCACACCAGCAGCAGACATTGAAATTCACACTTGATGAACACATTCAGAATAAAAGACTAGCCTCCCGTTGTCATGTTCAGATGTCTGAAGGTCTCCACCAGAGTTGAAAACAGCCATAACAAAACTTCATAAAAGACAAGCAGTGATTATGAGTTACAAAGAATGCACTACCTACAGTAGATGTACTGGCAAGGTAAGTACAGGAACAGTGTAATGTTGTGATAGTGCAATGCCCATTGCCTATGCAAGCCATCATCTCTCTTCAATACCGAGCTGAAGACTGCTATGGCTACATGTTCTGGTTGTAAGCAGGGCAGGACCCAGTTTCCCAGCATGCTCTATTTTGATGGGCTAGTGTTTGCAATGGATCACCTCTCACATAATCATGCTGCCACGCTTTGGTGGGTGTGATCTGTTCTAGTCAACAGGCATTTCCCGGCATGGCAGCCCTACCGCATGGCAGCCCTACCAGGTAAGCATCTCAAGAAGCAGCATGCTGATGACTGTGTAAGCCAATGACTGGGTACCACTTGCATGGTAATCCTACTACAATGCTGCTCAGTGAAAAGTGATTGTGTCAGTCAAGCTTGCGCCTTGCACCAGTGCACCACCCAGTTGCAGTGTTCGCAGGTCTGGGTCTGCACAGCACTCTACGTGACATTGGACTCGCATGGTCGGATTTCAATGGGCAGCACTGTACACACAGTGTCCCATATAATGAAAAGTCAGGTGTGCAGTAGTCATCTAGTCAGTCTAGGCCACTGCGCCTCCGCTACTGTGCATACCATATTGTTGAACTCGGCACTGAGGGTTCCTGTCGACTTGTTGAAGTCCATCACCTTTGTGTTATTGCAAATCTCACCACTGACCTCCGCCTTCACCGGCCTGATAAGATGAAAACAAATGCCCAATCCATAGACATAAATCTACACACATACATGTACAATGATACAGACTGCAGTTTGCCACCAAAAAAAGAAGCATTCCACCCTACAGGCATGGTACCTGACTACATCATAACAATACATTGGTCTGCAAGGATCTGAACTACCTGGCGCAGACAATGCAGGCATGACAAATACATGACATTGTACAACTATCTGTGGTAGTGTAGAGCCAAGGCACAAGTTGAGTAGCCAATATATCAGAGTATAAATACCCGATGATGATGGAAATATTACTAATACCAGAGGTCCAGAAGAAAGGACCAGAGGGTGAAATGTTATCCGTAGTTGCCCAACACTGACAATAATAAGCTAGCTACTGGTGAGTCACAACGTGCAACAGTTAGCACAATAGCACAATATTGACTGCTGTGGTACTGACATTCAACGTGTCATTGTTGGACAACAGTGGATAACATTTCAACCTTTGGTCCTTTCTTCTTGATTCTTATCCCTGGCTCTCCATCCAAATACCCGAGGTGCATGTACATCTATGAAAACCGGCTGGCCCAGTCTCCACAACAGAGAGCCATCAACCTGGACAGTGGTCGAGATGCACCTACATATGAAGAGCTTGATTGTAAACCGCTGTATGTCCATGTCATCACCTTTCGGATAATGGCCAAAAAGTTAAACCAATTCATGTTATGCATGATTTGTATCTAAATTCTGAACCCATATCTGGCCGGCAGTTTTGAAGCAGTTCTAGTTGGATTTTGAAAGTGAAATTTAGCCTGAAGGCGCCCTTTGACCATTTGATTTCACTGATTTCAAAATCTCAATTTCTCAAATTTGGCGCTTACCGCATTTTGCAATCAAATTCTTCATATGCAAACAGTGCACACATCTGTGTGTGTGCATACATGCACAATCAAGCTACCAGCACACCACTCAACGACAAACTAAGACACATTGCCAGCAGTGCACGAGCACGGGCATACTATCATGCATTTCTCTATGTATAAGAGCAACGTACACAGTGTTCTCCTTGGCCAGATTGCGAGCCTGCTTCTCACTGCATAAACATGGAAATAACACATGAGAGAACTAGTAAGATGCATACACATAGAAACAACACAGGGGAGAACTAGTAAGATCATGAACAAACATGTCCATCTTGTGAAACAATGTAGAGTTCTTGTAATTACTGGTACTCAAATTGCAATGTGCAGACAAAATTTGTAAAAATGACAGCATCCAACTTCTTTTTCTTAGTTGAGCGATAAGGTTTCCCTCCATTGATGTGCTGATTCACCCAGGCAAGTATAACTATAAGCATGTGCGCAGCAGAAGGAGAGATCCAGGGAATAGAGAAATAGCTGGTATCAGTGATTAGTTTCCCTTTCATCTGCTACTTACTTGATGATGTGTGCTTGGACCTCTGTATGGTTCATGTACACAGTCAGCTTACTACCCGCCAGTAACCTATCAACAAAAACAATGCCCAAGCACACACACAGACACACACACAGACACACACACACACACACACACACACACACAGACACACACACACACACACACACACACACACACACAGGGTCAGACATATCTGTAATGAATAGGGGGTGTCCAGAATACAGAGGTTATTACAACTTGATTGGGAACGGCCGGGATGGTACGAATGCGTCCACATCGCTCAACATGGAGATGTCCTTAGATGAGAGATGTCTGCTGAGCTTATGAGGGAGATTCTACTGTAGTTATCACAATGATACAGGAGTTGCAACTCTAGCAAATCTCCACTGACCACCAAAACCCAAATGGAATTTCCACCGTATCCCTACTGAAACCCAAGGGAATTTCCACTGAAACTCCACTGAAACCCATTGAATCTCCACTAAAACTCGAAAGTCAAAACATGTACAAGAGCTGGTTAGCATCTTACCGAACACAAGCACCAAATCTTGTCATCGTTTTCAAGACCTGCGGTGGCTGCTTGTCAAGAATAAATGTTCTGTACATGGAACGCAAGACAGTGCCAGCAGAAATGAAATATTTCATTGAAGTACGATTGACAGCGATGTATCAGAACTTGAAAGTAGTAGTGTAAGCTATCCGAGTACCAACAAGCTTACTGCAAGCAATTGCATAGAGTGGCAAATACATAGTCGCTTTAGGTTTCACAATCAAGCAATCTGTCAGACAAAACTGGGCATAAGTTATGTGCACTTGTGTTGGTTTTAATATGGACTATAAATAATCATGTAGGAGGAACAATTTATTCTACTTTAGTAACTGGGCTAAGAATGCACAAGTCAACCTACATACAACACCGGCAGGAGTGTGTGAATGCAAAATACCGGTAAGCTGTACAACAGACTGGAGTGACACAGCACCTATAAATAACGCCCTAGTTAGGGTGCGCTCACACTGCAACCAAAACACGCGGTCATGGGGTCAAGCAACCAACAGCATGCATGAAACCTAAACGTCGCGGATAGGTCTCAAACTCTGAATGCAGCCTTAAGAGGGGGGGGGGAGGAGGGGGCAGATGCCACAGCTATGGACACGAAACATAGTTCAAATGAAGCCGGGCCTGCCTGAACTCGAGGTGCGTGACCATCGGGCGGAAATGTTGAACAACTTAGGTACCTAGGCGAGGAAAAAATGGCCCTCTCTCACGAAGAAGAACAATACAGCCATTCATCAGAGTTGGAGGTCTGCGCTTTCATCCCGGCTTTGCATGAAATAAGAGTGCTCCTTGCCTGTATAAACTTGAAATAAAAACTACTTATCCAAAAGTCAAGAAATTTGAAAGCGCAGCACCTTTCTTTGACGTTTTCAGACGTTGTGTGTGAGCACAACTATCACGTTTCTCCGTATAGTGCAAGAAACTCTTCACTGTCTTGTACTGTTGTTGACAATACGTCACAGCATAGACTTCACTCCCACAGGGATTAGCCTTCGTAGCATGTCACAAACACTTACCTTGTCACTAGCATACACAGAAGATTGTTGACATTCAAATTCAACTCATTCAGCTCCATATCAGGGCCTTCAGTAACCGATAAGTGAGACTTCAAATGCTCCATCTGCAACGGAAGGCAGCCAAGCAAACAAGCAAACATGCATACACACACATACACACACACACACACACACACACACACACACACAGATACACACACCACACATGCACGTGTGCACACACGGACAAGCACACAGACAGACAGACAGACAGACAAACACACACACACACATCCATACACCCATGCACACAAAATACAGAGGTTTAACAAGACAAATTTCACTTTTGAGTTCACACTCCAATGCAAGTTGAAGTTATTAATGATGAGGATTAATAAACAGAATTGCGCTTGCATAATGGTGACAGGACATACAATCAAGGCATATACAGACAACGAAAAAAATTTATGGCTGTCCTGACACAAATCCGTGATTCGTGTTCTGACCGATTTTCCGAACAAACCGTGTGAACGTTCACATTCCAGTTCGCGAACCAAGAAGCGTTCACAAACTTGAATGCAAAAATCGTGACACTGAACCTCCATAATTATTCTTCAAAGCAACAGATAAATGCAATTTCACAACAACTATGTGTGTGTGTGTGTGCATATGTGAGGGGCACGCTGAAGAGAAACGAAACAAACAATCATATCTGTCCACCTGGCGCAGCGGGCTATAAATTGGATGTCCAGTCTGAAAGCGTGCACTACCGACGGCCTAAATGTGGCTAACAAGCGACCGAGAACAGGGGCTGAGCCTCGGAAAGACATGAAAACAGCCTACCTGCTGCACTTGTCTTCGGCACCTCCAGATGATGTCAGCTAATTCTTGACACCTACAGAAATGCAGTGAACCGAAATGAAGCAGGGCACAAAGCAACATGTGTAATTACGGGTACCCAGTGAAGAACACGGCACACAGCTAAGCCCCAATCGGAAAACCTTACAAATGTTTGACCATGACCCCGTATGTGCGTACATGTACACTCAACACGTAGTCAACAATGAATTAGGCACCGTTTAGACTATCTACTGCGGCACTACTGTAAATAAAAGCAACACACACAAGCAATAGTGCTGGTAGAATAACACCTTCCCGACATTCGGAAAACAGCACAGGCACAGGCACACACATAATACACATGCGCGCACGTGCACGCACACACACACACACACACACACACACACACACATGTGGATCTACTTACCAAATTTGAAGCTGGTCGAGAGGACCTGGCGGTGGCCCGCCAACGGCATGCAATTGCTGCGCTCTAGACCACTTCATCAACTCATCATCCAACACCGTGTCCTGTACGCTCTTGTACTCCATTAACATCTGCTCAGACTTCATGTACAAGTTCTAAACAAGATCAAAAACAGCCACAGATACCACATTGGCAACTACTACAATGATGGCAGCAATGAACAGCACAACAGCAGCAATACAAACAGCAGCAATGCCAACAACAACAACAACAACAACAACAACAACAACAACAACAACAACAACAACAACAACAACAACAACAACAACAACAACAACAACAACAACAACAACAACAACAACAACAACAACAACAACAACAGCTATCGTGAGAATAAAGATTTGAAACAACAACAGCAGCAGCAGCAATGCCAACAGCGCCCACATCGCCACCACCACCACAACTATGACCACCAACAGTGATCTGGAATGTACAGAAAATAATCTGTGAACACTTTGCTTCACCAGAACTAACGAAAGAAATTGTGCAGGCGAACAATGAACAAGATCCACTTGAGACAGGTTTAGAAGGCACACACAGCTCACCAACAACTCCAGCCTGTCATCAGACACAGGGTTCTCTCACTTCTCTTACCTTCCTGGCAGCAACAAGGGAGTCGGCTTCCTTCATCAATGTCTCTTCAAGTTTAGTCTTGATCTTGCACAGGCCACGGATCTGATCTTTGTTCAACTAAACGACAACATACCAACAAACACACATTTTAAACTTCAGGTTGAAAACGATTTCACATTCTGTGAAGCAGTAATGAAGCATGGAAACACATTACCATGATATGAGCCACATGGTCGTGGAGCAGTATGATTGTAATGGTGCCGAGTAAGTGTTGTCCACTATGTACCAGTACCAGAACCAGTACTGTACCATGGGCATGCTAGAACCACATTCACTGGTGGCCGCTAACTCACTGTACATAGAAACACGGCGGCAGCAGCAGCAGCAGCAAAAATATTGACTGGACTAACCTGGGATTGCTGAGCGTGGTCAGGCGAGGTTGGACCCTGTGGCTGCTGCTGGAGCCCAGTCAAGCCAGCTGCTCAAACATCAAGTCATAATCAGCACAACAACAGTAGCAAAAGTCAATGACAGCAGCAGCAGCAGCAAAGATAGCTTCGTGTACAGGTAGAGACCTAGCACAGAGCTGCCTGGTTCCGGTAACAGCACTCCCAAGCCACGCATGGTCGCAAAAGCAGAAAGCGATGCACTACACCTCTCACATGTACCCTACCAAAGCAAAGAAACATACCCAGGACCGAGTGTACTGTGCCAGTGCATGAAATAAGGAGGGAAGCAAGCACTGCACCACGTATATCATAAAGCCTCACTAGTTACTACTTCTGTAAAGCGACTCTGTTTGCCCCTGCTGTTAAACCAGCAGCGAAGCAACACAGTGTGTGCGTGGGAGTGTGCGTGGGAGTGTGTGTGTGTGTGTGTGTGTGAGAGAGAGAGAGAGAGAGAGAGAGAGAGAGAGAGAGAGAGAGAGAGAGAGAGAGAGAGAGAGAGAGAGAGAGAGAGAGAGAGAGAGAGAGAGAGAGAGAGAGAGAGAGAGAGAGAGAGAGAGAGAGATCGGCGGCACTTTACTACGGTACATGCGCTGGGAAGTCACCGACAGCATCGATCACACCAACTTACAACTGACTCTCCATAGCTCTTGCGTCTGAATGACCACTGCCTCCTGTCTCTGCTGTAGCAATTTCACATCATTCTCAACCTCCTGTACAACATACACAGGTTAGCCATGCAGCAGCAAAGCAAAACAGGCTATAAGGACAAACAATCAGGGTTGAAAAAGCAACTGAAAAACATGCAGCAATGGAAGCTGATTCGGACAAAATGAGACTAAAAAGACACTAGCACACTGCACAGTGTACACTGTACACATCACATACCTCTATTAAACATCTGAGTCGATGAATGGCAGCATCAATACTTGATTGGTGAGGAGACACGTCGAAACCAGAAGTCTGCATCAGAATAGAAGGAACACCACAATGGCATTACACAAAACAGAAGCACATAGTGAAAATAAGAACATGAACCAGTGCTGGGATTTGCACAGACCCAAGCACACATGCAGGTATAGTATACACTCGAAGTAGACACACACGTGCTAGTTTGTACTGTTGTGGACATGGAAATCCAGTCGGAGGTCAAGCGACCCCAGGGTGCTGGCGATGCAGCCGTGAGTACGCATACGGTTGTAGCTGCGAACCACTTTACCTCACAGCAGGCGTCTAGTGCGTTCAGCTCGATGCCTCGTCGCATGCAACGAGTTACGTTCTGTACGCACTGACGGCGCCGGCGCTGGTCATTCGACCGGATTTCCATGTCCACGCCAGTAGGTGAAGTGTGCGGGATACTGTGAGTGCTGAGAGAGATGAGTTGAGTGATAGGTTACAGCTGCTCTGGTGGACAGACAAACTATGGGAACTAGCACGAATGTGTGGACGGGAGCGTCCACCCGCGTACAGACACATACGCATGCATGCACGCACACGCACGCACACGCACGCACACACACACACACACATATACACACACACACGTGCACATAATGCTCTAATTCTAGCCCGGAATGCCAGGTGAAAACACTGGACACTCACAAAGTCATTCTCTTCCAGTCTCAAGAGTTCTGCTTCGGTGTTCAAGCAATGCTTCACCATGCGGGCAAACTCCAATGGATTGGAGGAATAACGCTGCTGCTCACAAGAAAGCAGAGGACACAACAAATAACGCACACCACTTAAGTACTGCAGGACTAAGTTAGATGCTGGATTCTCCCGCTGGTCATGTTAGTGAGTAGAAGTCCTGGTTGTCATGTTCCTCTTAGTTGGGGAGAAAGCACACACGCGTACAGGGGCGTACGCCGCTCGCCTCCAGGAGTGGTTCCCATGCCAACTGATGAACCACCATTACACACAATTGAAATGCTGTTTTTCGTACCCCACAGAGTTTCTGCATATTCTCCTCAGACTGGGTGACATCCACAAGCTGCTGGACGATGTCATTGCTACGCATTTATGGTTTTAAAAGACTGAACGTTTCCCCGTTTTATGGATGTTTTGTTCAGTATGACGATTGCATGCAGTCTTGAAAGCTGCCTAAGTTTCGAATCATCTGGAGCAAACATCACACAGGGCAAGCAGAAGCCACCATTGCATGCCTGTCAAAAGACTATCCAGGGTAACTCCTCCAACAAGGATAGTTGAAAGCGGCGCTGTTTGCCATCCATCTGGATACGCACAGGAAATGAAATCCTTCGCCTGCGGTGGCGCACAATGATTGTCGATGACGGAAATCTTTTCCGTGTCCAGCAAATTTCGGGGGACTGGATTCCACTGTGGACGTCGACTTTCAGAATATCCCTTCCAACACACTCCCATGTCATTGAAGTAAGTTTTGGATGATCCAGCAGCTTCCAACAACGGTCGCTCTACAGCTTCGCCGACGATTTCTTCCTCAGCGCTGCTCGTTGCATGCATACTTCACTTGCACGTCAGGTGCGTCTGCATTCTCATCTATTGCTTGACCTTTGCCACTAGCACTGGCTACACACTTTGCCTGCAGCTCAAAATAGCTCTGAATAGAGCGCTGGCCCTCTGGATGTCGACTCTTCATTTTTCGAAAGCATCGTCAGAACACGACCAACTTTGTCAAAACAAACTCCAAAAGAAAATTTGACTCTGAGATCGAGGAATCCGGCGATGTAACTAGACTAGAGACTTTGTTGAACCCATGATGGGTTCAGGCATGGCCCAGTTCAGTAGATCTACGCTGTGTCCCACTCCCAGCACCACTTTCCCACCTGGGCTAGTCACCGTCCTCGGACCGGCAGGCGGACTCCAGACATGCACTGCATGCACTTGCACTGTGAGTCTGTGAGCGCTGGGCCTGGATCAAAAAACTCTCTGTACCCATATCGAATTTGTTTTACTGGTTCCCGGGCATCCCGGGAACCGCCCTATGTACGCCCCTGCGCGTATGTACCATCTTACATAAATTCACCAAAACAATGCTGAGAGTTCTTACCCGTAGCGAGCCACACACATTGTCCAGTTGATGTCGGAGAAGGAAGGCATTGTTGTCCACACACTGCAAAAACACACAAAATGAGGGGGGGGGGGGGGGGGGGGGCAGCAGAAGAAAGTTAGTTACCTGTGCTGCACATATTAGCAGGGCCTATGTGGCGACAAACAGCCTACCAGAAATTGGCAAAAAAAGTGCTCGCTTCAAAGATCAGCAAGTACAATGTGGAATTAGATATTCTGTGTTTGATGGAAACATTTTCCTTTCTTGGCCATTATGCCATATTCTTTTAGCATACTGCAGTAGCCACTAATCGCAAACGAGAGAGCTTGGAAGCTCAGGGCCCTACGCTATGCTTTTTTGCCTTGATGACCCAAAGGATCGGATCAGTAGAATGTACTGTATGTGTACACGTAATAGCAAGAGTATATAACCCCCCAGAGTGTGCAACGCCTGATCCAGCTCTGCATAGGGTCTTGGTCGAGCGGAATCGGATCTTCTGATGTCATGTGTACACTCCACACCAGTGCAAGGCCGGTCTCGAGGCAGGGCACCAGTGTTTTTGATCCGAGAGTACCCGCGACTCCCCGGGTTCCCCTCAGATATGTACGATATTATGACGCAAAGATCCGATTACGTTCGACCAAGACCCTATGCAGAGCTGGATCAGGCGTTGCACACTCTGGGGGGTTATGTACTCTTGGTAATAGGTCCTCTTAAAGGGGAAGTGCATCGATTTTTCGAGTAGGGTCCAGAAGAAAGACAATTTGATATCGGTTCGAATGGCATATCTCTCGCTTCCATACGATAAGCCAAACTTGCCAAATCGCCAATTGTATGCTCACGTTGCCATAGCGACCAGCGCAGTGATGACGTATGAAAGGCTTAGCTCCTCCACAGAGAAGGTCGATCACTGCAGAAATTGGTCATTTTCAATTGTTTTATTGTATTCACGATGTGAAAGAAGTGCTGTGTTCAATGCTGTTAGTGCCCGTGAACTATTTATCGCCCATCTCATGCATTTCCCTTGGCTGACTGTGCCTAGGAAATGGTTTCCTCCAGGACAAGATGCTTGGAATTCGCCGTCTCTCCTGAGACATTTTCAGCAAACTTTCAAACATACGACATTATTTCATTCGTCAATCTCCACCACCCGTCGTCGCACCTGGCTTCAGAAGATGTTACGAGAGATAGGAGAGTCGCCAGGAAGCATCACATTCATCTTCAGGAAGTGGAAAGAGCAAACGACATGGTCCTTGGTTGGGGGAAATGCTGAACGTCTGATTTGTCCCAACCAAGATTTCAGCATTTTGTTCGTCACTGTGTTCGCTTGTCTGCTGGTGTCTCCGCACTCCAGCTTTCTCCTGTCGGTATCACGTCCCAGTACACAACCGAGAGGACTACTAACAAACAGTTCGCTGCACTAACAGCATTGAACACAGCCCTTCTTTCACTCCCCCCCCCCCCCCCCCCCTACTATTTTGAACTAGCTAGAACCCTGTCATGGGTTCTGAAAAGGCGTGGACCAGACCAGCAGCTGCAAAGCTGCACACTCTCGTTTATATACTCTTGGTGATATCGAATAACTAATTTCCTGCACCGTGTACAAAACAAGTTTCCACTTGGCAAAACGCGACAATGAATATACACTTAAATGCCTCTTATCCGGACGCCTCAGATACGGGCACGTCTCTCTACCGGGCACCTTCAGCTTGAGTTCCTATAGCACAAATACTTCGAATTTGGGGGTTTGAACTTTTTTTCCCAGATGTGGAAGTGCTCATTTTTCACTGCCAACCGGCGTAATCCACATATTTTTATCGATGGGTTCCTTTTGCATCTTGAACATGGGCGTTCCAAATAAACTTCTTCAAAAAATGATACCGGTATGATAAATGTGTTATCATGAGATACGGGTAAATCAAGATACGGGCAGTGCCCGGTCCCAAGGTGCCCGGATAAGAGACGTCCTAGTGTATTGGCTTCCTAAAACCTTGCCTAGAGGCTTTCCGAATTGTACACTCAAAATTTGACAGCATAAAAGTACAAATTTGAGACTACAAATAGTTCGAACTTCGACAAGCTGTGCTTCTCTTCAAAAATTGGATTTGTAGATAGATTTTTGTTCCTGTTACAGGCAAGTCCAGTTTCCTGATGTTGACTTCTGCCTGAAAGAAAAAGTTACCTTGTACAGGGGCACCGGAGTTGCGGAAACCTTTCAAGCAACTTTTATATTTTCGAAAGGAATTCGTGTGGACACACCCATTCCCATAGCGCTGCACATCCAAACCAGTTCCATTATTTTACAACTCTTCTTACCTGACGCTGGCCAAGTGCCGAAATGTAAAATAACGGAACTGGTTTGGATGTGCAGCGCTATGGGAATGGGCGTGTCCACCCGAATTCATTTCACAGATGAAGTTGCAGGAAGCCTCGGCCCTTCTTCAGATTTTATATTTTCGTGCCAAACTACCCGGGTTGCCAAGGAGAATGGCCTGAAAAATGGTCTATAACGCACTTTTTCAAGTAGTGTGAATGCGACCTTAGTATCAACAAAAGTATAAACAAGTCATGGATACTCTTACCGTTCCTATCAACCATAGTGTAATTACACTAATTTGTGTATGAAATTACATGTATATAATTATTCAGAATTGTCAATGATGTGATGACAGTCCTTGTGGAGCCCCATTCATACTCATTCGAAGCAGCTTGTACGTGTATATGCAGGATGGTTACTGCATTCGCCGTTCAGACGAATCAGAATGTGCCAGCGTTAGCACAATTTTCCTTCGAACTTACCTCCTCTTGAATTTTTCCATCGATCAAATCCAAAAATTGTGCGAAGAGCTGACTAGCAGCATCAGCATGGAGATTATTATCTGGATCAATATCAGCCCTGGATGAACAAAGATCGCATCGAAAAAAGTCTTCTAGGCACCGCTGTTCCCGTGTGGATCTATCTCACTTAGTTGTACACTCAAGACTACTCACCAAGATTGACTTTCCAGCCATTCAGCAAAATAATGACGAGCCTCCAATGGAAAATAGGTGTTGTATAACTCACGCAGCAGCTGCCCGTGTTTTCCACTCAGACGTTGGGCTTTTTCCCATTGAGCCATGGGTTGCCACAAGACAAACACAGTTTCTACACTGTACTGGTGATTCTCGTACTCACAACAGGTTGACAGATAAGAACGACCTCTTCACAACTCGACAATCTTCGGAAAGCCTTTTCGAAGGTGATATCCCCACGTCCACGATACAAATCCAGTTATCATACCGTAGCTAGCTTGCAAGCTTGTCGTAGGACGTCGACGAGAGTAGATCTACGAGTCGTAGAAAATTTGTACAAGACTGCATGCCCTGGTGAAGGGGAGTCCCGCAGTGACTCACTTTCTTTTTGTCTTCGTCAATGCCTGACAGATATGACGTATCGGTCACTCCAAGGCCATTGCAGTGGCCCACAAGTCGAGTGAGTGGGCACTGGCCTCGGCTCAACCTCGATCGTCCTCAAGCTTGCATTCTGGTGTTTTGACTCCATCATCACATCATGGCCTCATGCACCCATCGATCGAGTCCACCGGCATCACCCACTTCGAGTTTGAGGACGCTTGGGATCACCAAATTTGGACAAAATTCAATCATCAACTCAACTACTCAGCCGTTCACTGTAAGTCTTGTACATGTATAATGCACTGACTGTACTAGATGTCGATATGTGGTTTCTCGTTTATCATGCTGGTTCAAAACTGACAAAAGGGATTTACATGTATAAGGAGACGAACATTAAATCACGCCCAGCAACAAAGTTGCCAATTTCCTTACCAATAGTATACCAGTATACTCAGGGATCGTTCTGATGATGGGTCACGGACGGGCCCTAAATGTCAATAAATTAAATTATTTATTTTACAGTATCGCTATCTTTAGGGGCCTATTATATGTGCAACTCCAGCCCGGACTAGAGCGAGCGGGCTAGTCCGCCGAGAGTGTTAACATGTGCACGGCCGGGCTGGTCGCCAGCCCGCAGTGAGTTAATTATACAGACGTCCTTCTCTAATCCGGCACCTTTTGCAAAGGCATTTTCTGCTGGATAAACAAGGGTGCTTGGATTATCAAATCCTGCCCTCCAACCCGGCCCACCTGTTAACTTACATGTATGTGCCATACGTAAAAACGTAGGGATTTTCTGTGTCAATCCAAGTACTCTGTAGAATGCATGTCTTTAACATACCCTTGGGAATACCGTAGAATCCCGCGGATAAGCCCATGGGCTTATCTGTTTCTTAACCCTTTGAGAGCCGACCCATACTTGAATGTGTAGAATTCTACACACTCGACTGTGAGACTTCAACTGGCCGTAACTCGGTCAAAACTAGCTCAAATTCAACGATCCAAATATCTACAGGTCGTCCCTCGTTAAAGGGGAAGTATACCCTAAAATCAAATTTTCACCAGTTGTAGTCTTCTGGGTGCTGAGTCGAATGGTCTTGGTCCGAGGAAGCTGCGACGCTCCCTTCCTACTTGAATCCCAATCGAACTCGCGCACTTCCACCGAAACTGGGTGACTGCGCCCTACTAGATGGGGATTTGTATGCAAAATGTCACTAAAAGCGCCATTTCGTTCTTATAAAAGCACGGATGACCGCGATTGGCCCATATGTTGTAGTCTTTTGGACGCTGAGTCGACTGGTTTTGGTCCGAAAAGGCTGCGATGCAGCGTTCCTCCTTTATTCCCAATCGAACATGGTTGAACAAGCGGTCACGTGCTCCTGGGTGCCCAAATCACCTGCAGCCTGGTCACCGCGCCAGCAGGCGACAACTTTCACACCAAGGTTCAACTCGAGTTCAACTCGAGTGACAGGACTGCACCCAAAAAAGGTCAAACAGGCTAGTAAGTTGTACCCTGCAGGCACGGTGACCAGGTGACTGGTGTACGCAGGAGCACGTGACCGCCTGTTCAACCATGTTCGATTGGGAATAAAGGAGGAACGCTGCATCGCAGCCTTTTCGGACCAAAACCAGTCGACTCAGCGTCCAAAAGACTACAACATATGGGCCAATCGCGGTCATCTGTGCTTTTATAAGAACGTAATGGCGCTTTTAGTGACATTTTGCATACAAATCCCCATCTCGTAGGGCGCAGTCACCCAGTTTCGGTGGAAGTGCGTGAGTTCGATTGGGATTCAAGTAGGAAGGGAGCGCCTCAGCTTCCTCGGACCAAGACCATTCGACTCAGCACCCCGAAGACTACAACTGGTGAAAATTTGATTTTAGGGTATACTTCCCCTTTAATACATAATCTCTGGGACTTGACAAATGTTATGTATTAACGGGGTTTATGTACTAAACGACAGTGTACATAACTTGCTTGTATACCAGAATTTTTCACTTTTTTCAACTTTTCTGAGTATTTCTTGCTGCCATGACTAGGGAGCGAGATATTCTTGATTCCCTCGATATAACATAAAAATTATGTTATAACGGTCACAGTCAGCGAAGATTCTACAGTTGACATGATACATGACATGCCCAGCGGCGCCTGTAGTCACTCGAAAAAACAACAGAGCTTTGTCGGTTTTTGATGTGCGCTCTGATTTAGACCGATCCCCTTATTATACTGGGTTCGAGCACGGGGGCAACCTCACTCGCGATCGAGCTAGTTTTTGAACGTGACAGCATCTTTGACAGTGTGTTTCAGGTTTGTTTTGGAATGTCTTCTGCTTAGTTCAAGTAGTTTGCGATGGCTTCGAGCGGTGCTAAACCTCCTGCTGGTAGGAGCAGAGTCTCCGAGAGAGACATGGACTGTGATGCCGCTGCAGGATTTTTTCAAGGCGCGGGAGGGAACGATCTCGGGCCACAAACAGGAGTTACTCCAGAGGTGAGTTTTTTTGGTGTTGAAATATTCGAATCGCGAATCGTGTTGTGAGATTTATTTTGTGCCTAGGCTACAGCAGACCATATTTCTTTCTCCTTGCGATCGGTGCTGAAGATAATAGTAACCTTTTTCTGGTCTGTCTTTTTCCTCTCCAGAGCCATCTTCTATGAAGGTAACCGTGGTGCTGCCAAGTCACCAAGTCGCGATCAGCAGCCCTGAAGTGGAAAAATCGATTTTCCAACGATCTGGTTGGACATCAGCCACTAAAGTACTCAGTCTGATTTGCCTGTAGTGACAACAGCAGCCATCCTTGGACACCTTGCAAAGACAGGAAAAGCCACTGGTGGAAGCGACTGCTTTGAGGTGACGATAGCAGTGCAGTGGTGATCGCTGTTTTGTCAAGTCGAAGGGCTAGCCAACCCAGAGGAAGCATAAAAAAACGATGAGCAGTGCGTGTTATTTGTTGAGCGTGAAGAGCTAGAGGAGGACAGTGCAAACACATGGACGGAGTGGATGGTGTTTGAAGAACAGTGTGCTGTGTGCCGGCTGGTGGTGATGGTGGTCGTTGTCAGCATGTATTCGTGCTGCTTCTTGTGCTGGAACACTTCTCGCCCAGGAAGGCAGATTGCGTGCTCCCTGGCCCTCAGTTGGCTATGGGGCATTTGTTCCAGGAACATTACCCCAGAGCCAATGATGAGTCGTACCTTTGAAAAGTCGAAGCTTGCTGTAAATCGCAAGCGTAGCGCAGTGGATTGCTCCCTCTTCGAAGCACGAGGGCCAAAGCTTGCCGCTGTCTGCAGCAAAGTGTGTGTGCGGTTCTTTCGAACCTATGAATATACCCCCTGCACGTTCAGAGTGAACTATTTTCTAGTATATTTAACATCCTCAACCCGCCACCACCATGCGCTCTTGGCCGAACTAATGCACGAAGCATAAACACACAAGCACAGCAAGGACACTTCCGTTGACAGATATTGTTTACGCCTCTAGACCGCTGTTTCTTTTCTTCGAGCTCATCGTTAGAGGAGGATAGTAGCAGGATACTAATGATGATATAATAGAAGATGATAGACGGTTTATGGTCCGATATTGATGATTGAAGATCTAAGAAAGCAATGACAGTGATTGCGAAATGGATAATATTATCATGATTATATGCCAGTCTGGTAATGCGTTGTACTTGTGGACAGTATTGAAATCATCACTGCATTCGATGCAAATATTGGTATACCTTTGGTTTCAGTATTGGAAAAAAAGAGTAAGAGAACCTGGTTGATTTGGTTGCATCTGCGACTGGCTACCGGGTGTTGTGATCAGCAATGTTACCATGGGAGAAAATAAGAGCGCAAGGATCTGTTGGGTCTTTTTGTGCCGGTGCGAGAACCCTAAGTGCATGGCAAAATAGAACTGTTTCATCCACAATGCAGAATGTCTTGCGGTACATGGCATTGATGACTGAACATCTCGCCAGCTCGCCCAAATGGGGATCATGCCCAAACGGAGGAACAAGACATCTTTCCAGCTCAGCTAGCTATATAGTATATACCGTGAAACGGATGATTAACTTGTGCCTCGCATGACCGCTTCTGTCCCATTCGGCCCAGGCTTAGACACATCAATGCCAATAGCAGCTGATCCTCCATTACATGCTCATTGGCGATTTACGGCCACCTCCAACTGTATCCGCCGTCCCTCAGCGGCTTCCGTCTTCGCAGATCTGGCTCGGCGCAGTACATTTTCTCGGCTAGGCTCAAAGAAGTCCCACAGAGCGGTCCAAACACCTGAAGGCAAACCAGTCAGAAACTGGCACGGCTCAGAGTCTTTCTTCATGTTATTGTACGTAAGCTGTTTTTCGGCTTTCTTCACCCCATCGTCCAACTGCTCCACGAGACGCTGTACACGAGCTCTACTTGCTGCCAACTCCTGATGCAGATGCTGCACTTCCATTACAGGACCAAACTACACTAAGCCAGGTTCCTTTCCAACTCAAAATGCCGTTGCCTCTCAGCAAAATACTGGTTTGCGAGCATGGGGAGCTCGTGATGCAGACGCTGCACTTCCATGACCGAACTGCACTAGGCTCAGCAAATACTGTTTCGCGAGCATAGGGAGCAGAGCGTCCAGACTCCACTCTCTTGCGAAAAGCAAACCTGGTACCGTAGGACAGCTGTTTGGTTTCCTGGACTCATCCTGCCCTTGTAGAGCTGGGCAAAACGATTTCGACTTCGGGATCGAAATGATCGCTGCATCTCAAATATTCAGAGTGACCCTAAAACTACGTCCTTCCTCACGGGGAATAGCCTGGATCCGCTTGCTCCAGGCCGCTGTGGCTCCACACGACGAAAGGAGTGAAATGACTTGCTTGCTTCGTCCTCCTGTTCTAACAGTGAGGAACGCAGCAATGATCCTGAGAAGGCATCCTGAAGTCGTAAAAAGGAAGACGTCTAAACAAAAACAAAACAGCTCAAATCAAAAGTCCTTGTGGCATTTTTGTAGACAGGCTTGCACTGCGTGTAGATTTCGCGTGCTCTGCACTTCGCATGCGAGAAGTCATGCAAAGCCGAGGTGAGGTTGGTCGCGTGTGTCCAGCAGGATCCCACGCGACTGCGGAGTTGCCCCCTTGCTCGAACCCAGACAATAATAAGGGGATCGGTCTATTGCGTCCACAAGTAGAAACTAGAACACGATGTGCCTCCACTGGAAGGCCAAAAGAACAACAAATTATGTACTATTGAGGTAGGTGGCATGCCATGAGGGTACGGAGAAATGTTATGTACTAACGGGGTTTATGTACTAACGAATTATGTACTAACCGACAAAATTTGTATGGAAGTGACCACGTTTCGTCCGGGACTTGAGATTTCTTATGTACTAACGGGGTTTATGTACTAACCGGACTCGTATTAACGGGGGACGACCTGTACCTTGAAGAGAAAACTCTCAGCGTGCCGTAGAACCCATCCGCGACGCGCTGCGATCAACGGTTCTTGAGATAAATCGCTCGTAAGTTCAGCCGCGATCGCGGCACTTGAAAAGCGTGGGAGTGCAACTCGAAAGTTGAGAATTTTGAGACTTTTCCTCGCGCTGAGTTACTCAAATTTGCGTGGGTTTCACTGGTAGTATTTCGAAGGGTACACAGCGAAAAAATCGAAACTCTGCGATCAAGAAAAATGAAAATGCTGGAGGATCCCGCCTCGCCGGGCCGGCCCGCTTGACATGTGAATGCACAACATGTTTTGTGTGGATTTGTGTACAAGCCCGAGATCCCGTTGCAGGCGGGCTGGCCCGCCTGTTGACCAGCCTGGGCTGGAGCTGCACATATAATCACCGCCTAACTTGAAGTTTTCAAGTAAATCAGCGCAATGAGTGCAGTGATTGAATAGAGGGGTTGTCAGTTGACAAAATGAAACCCCTTTCCTTTTTTAAAATTGGGTGAAGTCCATTAACCTCTTACCTCTTAGTGAGTACTCAGTCAACTGTCAGAAATATCCCTAGGCTCTCATCAGCGGATACTAGTACACGATAATGAAGTAAATATTGATAATACGGGCTATTGTCTGTCCCAGCGGGGCGGAAAATTCTCGAAAACTTGCGCAAGAAATTGTGTCAGAAAACAACAAAGAATGTGGCGAAACGTGCGGAACTTGCCAGGAGTTCGCGGAATTATTTGCAGAAAATTGCGGATTTGGCCGGGCCAAATCACGAATCGCCATTTGCGCAGTAAATCTACTCGGGAGTAGTACTGTGCAAATAACCTACATGATCATGGAAAACACTGCGTGAAAAGTGCAGAAAATGTTTTAAAAAATAATTAAAAAAAATAAAAAAGGTACATGCATGCAGAAAAGAACAAAAAGCCGATTTTGCAGAAAATCGCGGGTTTGGGTCAAAACCGCGAAATTTGTTGCATCCGTGGAATCGCGATTTCCTGGAGGGACAGTATAGTGATCATTTCTTCAAATTCTTTTCCGTTTTATGATATCAGGAAACCAGTATAGTGATCATTTCTTCACATTCTTTTCCGTTTTATGATATCAGGAAACCTGGTGTACTCAGGGGTATCATGTATCTCTTAATTTGCTGGCCGAAAATCCTATATATAGGATTTGAAAATGTGTGCCTTTTATGCCGTTGTTATTGGTCATCACGACCAATAATAACGACATACTGGTTTTCATGGAAATTGTAAATATGTTTGAGGCATGAATGTGTACATTTTAGATTCATAGGGCGATAATATTTCTGATGAATACCCATTTTCAGCAATAATTGGAAATTTGAGCATAATTGTTCAGCTGCTGTCATGGAAAGGACTGAAGCAGTGAATGTGCAGAAGAACATTGCAGGTGTGGCACGGGGTGGTTTCATGACGACATATCGCACATGCCGTCATGAAACTACCAGTTTTAAGGATAAAACAAGGTCCAATAAAATCTCAAATCCTATATATAGGATTCGAAAAATAGGGCACAAGCCTTAGTAATATTGGGCAAGGAGATGAGCCTGAGATGTTAGTGTTTGAAAAAATTATCTTATTCAATTCTCGATATCTACTAAGACCTAGCAAGGAAGAATTGGTCACATACTTTTTGCTTTTCTCATGCCACACCCATTTTGAGTTGAAAAATATGACCAAAATCCTATATAGGATTTAGCAAATTAAGAGATAGTAATTGGATAGTCAGATGCTTGGATCAACTATTGGTTGATAGCCTGGTGGGCTTATTAGTACCGTAAAATCCCGCCCCGTCTCTCCCGTGCGCCCCTCCCTGACCAGCCCGGTTGGAAATGTACGCACGTGACAGTTCCCATGCCCCACCCTCTTGACCAGGGATCGCACAAATCCTGGGTTTTCATGGGTCTGTACGACTTCCTGCTCTTGATCTTTGGACAAAGTTTGGTCGGTGTACGAGATGCACGCATAGTCAAGTTTCGTAGGGTGAGTACTTTTTCATGTACATGTACAATAATAGTACTGAATGCGGCAGGTTAGGACTCACCCATCTGCCACTCCCAACCTGAACCTACTCGAAGGATCACGGAGGTAGGGGCGCTCTGGAGGGATTTTACGGTACAGTATAGCGAATGTATAATGTTGTTGCCATGGGATTGGTATTTCATTATAATAGCTATGAAAAGTATGAATGCCGCAGACATCACCATGCAACACAACAACATGACAATTTATTTCATTATAATATGTCTGGCATGACATGTTTCGGTGCGGTGACCAGGATCCAAGTTCTGTTCTTCTGTTTGCAATTGCTGACAGATCTAGATGGCTGCCACAAAGATGGTCGAGGCTGCCGAACGCAGGGCAGCAGCACTGGAGGCACTGGGAGAGTATGAAATTGCTCAGTCGCTGAGAAGGCTCAAACATCACCTCAGTATTCCCATGCTGTAACACGCCGTTATCCTCAACTCTATGGGGATGCCGCCGACCGAACGGTCCACGAAGAAGAGTCGTAAGTGGCAAGAGAGGATGGCTCGCAGGTCCATGGCGGCCCGGGCGTGCAAAGAGAAAGTGGTGGGAAGGGGGGGGGGGGGTGCGGGTGCGTCACCCAGGCTGCTTCCTCCACGACCTTTGCATCCTCGGTCCCGATGAGTCCTGGCCTGAAGACCGTGGCAACCGGCTCTTTGCCGTTAGCCACGCAGACCTCCTCAGTGACAGCACCCAAAACTGTGCCCAAAAAGTCTGCGGAAGCCAGTGAAGAGAGGCAATGGCAACATCAAGAAGCTCAGCGAGAGCAACAGGTCGCCGGCTGGGCTTGCTGAGCTGGACGAGAAATGGATGCATTGGAGAAAGAGCTCCTCGGCATTTCATAAGCTTGTTTTTTATCAATAGAGCGACTGATCGGTCATGTAATCGAAATTCTAGCGCCAGAATTGTACATATTGAAAATAAGTAGTATCTCTCAAAATTCTCGCCATCAGCCGTCACACACCGGTAAACTTTTCACACCTCGCAGATTAATGCAGCATTGCGCGATTCGTGCTAATCATACCAATGTCAATTCTCCTCACTTCCCTCTAAACTTGAAGACCGTATGGTCCTAGGCCACAGGTGCCTAAGCCTAAATGTATCCTGTTTGCGCCTGTTTTGTCATCCCACCCAACTCGCACATGTGCATATCACACTATTGGCACATCCTTAGTATTCACTCGCGCTTTCTGCAGCCTATCAATCATATCTTCAGAACATTGTAGTTAGTCAGTGCTTTCTGATGATCGCCATAAAACTCACAGCTACATCGGAAATGCTTGATTCTTCTTCTTTTTTTCATCTTTTTTTTACTGAAATTGTATGTGCTCTGAGAACGAGTGATGAATTTCCTTCTTGCAACTACCCTCAGACTTGACGTGTGGGCTGAGATGTTACATTTTGGCTAGTGTCAGTTGCATGTTATATGGCCCGAACAGATAGAATGATATGACGGCAGCAAGCAATGATCGCAATGCAGGGTGATGAACGGATTCTTTGTTGAAGGACAGAGGTGCCTGTAATATCTAAAGAGGAGATGAGCACTAACGCGAGGATGTTAGCAGAACTGTCGACACGCTTGTGCATGTGGGTTAAACTGGCGCGTGCACTGGTGGTCATTTGACCACCGTACCGTACTACGGTCAGTGCACGGTTTGTCGTCGACAACAGTTCTGCTGATCCGTACGAAAAACAGCATAATCCGATGCCGGCTACACTGTATTCTGTTGTGACATGATCAAAGCATCCCCTCAACACACTGCTGACAAAAGCCAACCATGGCTGACACCCACCCAGCACTGGGTTTGGGATCTCAGCTAGTCCTCACAGATATGGATTTTATGAAAGCGGATAGAAGAAGGGTTTAACTTAAAAGTAAAAAAAATTCATTTAAAATTCAAAAACAAATACTACCGCATATAATATTATAGCCTGGAAATGTTAATGTCTGACGTAGTTATGGGAACAATGATTGGTCATGTACAGTAACCGTTTCTCCAGTGGGTCAGATAAATTGAATTTGCTTCTCCCAGGGCAAGCTGAGCATGATCATTATGGGACGGGACTTTCAGATGAATGTGCAAGCTCGTAGCAAGCATTGCTATGCTACGATGTCATCAGTCACAGTATCAGTTCTACAGGTTTTGAAATCGTTGTCATTATCGGGGGTTGATGAGTAATGTCACCAGAAGACACAATTTGCCTGACTCGATTCTGCCATAGCATGCAGTGACGCGAGACCATAGTATTATATTGTGTACACAGTCATCAGAAGGTGAGGTGATATACGAATTTCAAGCTGGCGAAATCTGTCATTCTTGCCTGCACGGTGATTTAATCATTTCTGCTGGTGCACCAACATCATTGCTGTCAGCTGTGTACGTGTGCCGTAGTCTAACTTCTGTAGGCAATGCACGAGCAACTTAGCAGATCAGAGTGCCAAGGACGAGAACAACTCGATTAGCTTGGAAGGCTGATGGTACTCAAGGATGTTGGCAAAGGAACGGGGCGAACCGGCATTCTCATTCCTCGTCTATTACCGGCTGTGTGATTATCTTCTCCCGCACGATTGCTCCATCGGGTCCAATGGTGACCTCGCCGGTGTTCCGACGGCCTGTACTAGTCGTGGCGGCGGGTGAGTACCCGCGAGCCAGCAAACTCTCCTCGTCGCCACCACTGTCCATGAACTGCATGATTGGCCGCCCGCCCAATGCGTAGGACATTGGTCGACTAAAGATAAGCATGTTGCATGCAGACGGTCCCGTGCCCGGCAGGAGTCCATGCGTCTGGTAGACTTGGTCTAACCGCCAGCCATGGCCGCTGATTACCTCAATCACCCGATGCATAGATACAAATATCTCAACGTACCTGCAAGTGGAAACACATCCGACAAATCACAAACAGTAGCATGACAAGTATATACCGTATGTCCGCACCTCTACAGCCATGGCGGTATATTCGATTATGAAGCCAGTCTCAGTTATAAAGCCATGGGCTTCATAAATAAAATGAAGGAATATTACTACTATGCTAACAAACTTACAGTCCCGCAGGAAGGGTGAACAAGTGGATTTAGATTGAAATATCTGTGTGGACTTTGACTTTTATGGCATGGCGTAGTGGGTGAGTCATTTTGCATCTAAAATAGCTAGGAAAGCAGCGGTATTTCGGATATAAGGCCATGGCTTTAAAGGCGCTGACATACGGTTTTTTTGAAGTGTCTGCGAGGTGCTATCAGTAACTTATTACTTATTATGGAGCTGAATACGTTACTAGTAGTTAGCAAGCCCTGTGGGGCCTTGCTGTACACACATTTAGACCTCGCCACACACGTTCATTACTCACAGACATATTCACACGGATAAGTGAGGGAACTGGATAATCAAAAACAGTTTTCATGGCAGCCAATCCACCGTAAAGTAATGCCAACCGAGCTCTCCCCATGCTTGGTGAGGGAACCGGACAAGAGACCACACGCATGTGTCATATCCCGAGTAGCAGCAGAACGTGTTTCCATGGCAAGGGCAACAACACTGACATGCTGGGTGACCATGTTTCCCTCGTCTGTGGGAAGCTGTAACGTCATGCCATCAGTGTACAATGATGTACGCCGTAAGTAGCATGATTGGACAGTTATTTTGCTGACCCATGCGGTGTGATCCGATACTGCTGCCTACAGTACTGCCGGGTGCCGAAGAACGGACAGGCTAAGCGCGGCATACCGATATACGCAGTGACTTCACTCCGTATAGACTGGTGTACAAGAACGCACGAACGGCTTAGGCTACGAGGCTGATCCCCCCAGTTCTTCGTTACCCAACAGTACTATTGCCCCTGGTTGCTGGTGCTTACCAGCCTCGTTCATCCATTCTCTTCTGCTTCGATGTGGCACCTTGTCCGAGCTGTGTCAGCGAGTCCTGCGACAGTGGACCATTGACGCGTATTCCTTTATCATGGAACACCTCCACCGTGGTATATTCCAACAACTGGCCATGGAAGCCATCTTGATCTGAGGACAAACAAACAGATCACCCACAACCATTACCTACTGTGTTCCGGAGTTTGCGGAACACACACACACTACATGCTCATGTATCGGTATGCTAGTTAGTGTGTGTTCCAGGTGATGTCCATATTCAAGATCTCTTTAAAAGGAAAGGTCTCGAAAACCGGAAGATAAAGACATCTCCCTATGCGCCGTCCTTGCCAGTCCATACGTTTTTTTAAACAGCCTTTAAGCAATGTAAGTCCTCAAAACGGGTTGCCCTATGTCTGTCTGTCTCGCAAGTTGGAACCCACTAGCGTGCAGAAACATCACAGTTGTTGCAGGATGCGGTGCAGTCATGCATATACTCAAGTAGCACTATAATTATAGCAATGCAAAAAGAGTTCAAGCCATTTCATAACCAATGCCTTTAGCAGTCAAGGTACAATTTCTACTTTGAAGCATGATTAACTTTTCTTTTTCTTAAAAAAGAAGTTTTTTACTTTCTTTTTGTACGTTGCAAGTGTGTACCAGTACACACTACACACACTCACCAGATATACGATCGTCCCGAGACAGCATCCGTCTTAGATTCGCCATCCATTCATCCTGCACAGCAGTGAAAAGCAGCAGCACTCAGCGTACATTGTACACAATGACAACTGTATACCAACATGCACGCCACAGCGGAATAACCTGTCACCAGTACAGGCTGTTTTGGCTTGCCAAGGCTGCCGCCGCTCAGGGTCTTTTTTTAAACAAACACATGGGCCATGGGACACTAGTAAACGAGCAGTGTTGATCAGACTGAAGTTAGTTTACCTTTGGCATAACCATGCATGCTTTACAAGTGCATTTACTGGATAATAAACAATGCCATGTACATGTATGCTTGCCAGAGGACCTTTAATGGGTAGGGAGCGTGACAAATGCGTGTGTGAGCACATCTACTCTCGCACATGCAGAGCATTATCTACTCTCGCACATGCAGAGCATTATCTACTCTGGCACATGCAGAGCATTATCTACTCTCGCACATGCAGAGCATTATCTACTCTCGCACATGCAGAGCATTATCTACTCTGGCACATGCAGAGCATTATCTACTCTGGCACATGCAGAGCATTATCTACTCTCGCACATGCAGAGCATTATCTACTCTCGCACATGCAGAGCATTATCTACTCTCGCACATGCAGAGCATTATCTACTCTGGCACATGCAGAGCATTATCTACTCTCGCACATGCAGAGCATTATCTACTCTCGCACATGCAGAGCATTATCTACTCTGGCACATGCAGAGCATTATCTACTCTCGCACATGCAGAGCATCATCTACTCTCGCACATGCAGAGCATTATCTACTCTCGCACATGCAGAGCATTATCTACTCTCGCACATGCAGAGCATTATCTACTCTGGCACATGCAGAGTGCAGAGCACTATCATGATACGGAGCACTGTAAACCGGGAAACTTTTGCCATCGGTGAGATTGTGCGATTTTTGCGATGGGTGTGAAATCACAAAATTAAGCCTCCACAAAGCGTAGAACTGGAGTAAAAATCGTAACGAAAGTGACTCAAATCGCAAACACTTCCGAGCATCAATCAGCCAGTGCTCGTTAATCCTGAATTAAAACAGGTGCAAAAGCTTCCCAGTTCACAGTAGTGCCCAAGGAAACACAACGGTGTTCCTCCACACGAACCCCATGCGCTCAACTCGGGCTGGTACTGAGGCTGCACTTGAACACTGGGCATGCCAGTATACAAAGCCGGCCCAGCAAAGGTGACTCCGACTGTGCATCAATATCTCAACTGACCAGTACACAGCTAGTATGTACAGTATATGCATGATGTTGTGGAGGATATGCTATGCTGAGTCGAGGGCCTTCATCCACGAATCCATGCATGCACACACTCCACTATTGTGAGAGGTTTCATTTCACAACCCATAGCCTGAACTGACCTGCTCTTCTTGACTATTAGCACAGAACACGAATGTCCGGTCACCAGTGTTGATTTCAAACACAAAGGCATACTGCAACAGGAACAGCAAAAACAACACGAGGAACTTCATAGCGACACACTCGCATGCACACACACACACTCACACACACACACACACACACACACACACACATACAATGTGTGTGTGCATGCTCGTGAAGACAACTCCAGCATTTCTCGTACAGTCCACATGACAGTCACAATCATCACCATCTCATCCAACAGAACGTATGATATCAGGTGAGTTAACTATTGCGGTGCTGTGTGCCAAGATGCATCTACAGTAGCTAACGTTACAAATCCAGCGATGGATAGGCCGTGGAAATAATGATGATAACGATATCCACCAGAGCCAGGCTGTTTGTTAACGGGCACGGAAAACATGCAAGTGAAGAGATCTATACACCTTACCTTGGGATCCTTGGAGGATTCATCAGCATTCTGCGATACACCGACCATATCTTCAGCATACACACTCCCGGTAGGCTCTTTGTCCTTCGCCGATAGTGGGGAGCACACAGAATTGGCCACAGAGATGTCATAACGTTAGTGTGCCGGTTCAAGAGGCCAAGCATTCATCACGCTGCACGCCATCTGTAAATAATCTTGATCACATAGGATTATATCTTCCAGAACTACACCAGGGACAATTATTGTAATTTAAAAAAGAAGAAAAAAAAGAGTATGCACACTACTAGCATGACTAACTGAGTGCAAACGTGACTACTACTGTAGTACTACTGAGTACATGCTTAACTTGTTACCTGCTCAGCCTTGTAGTAGTGCAGCGCCTGATGACCCAGCACACACCATCTCCTCCGCCAAGCCTACACGCACACCGCACACCAACAGCAAGCGGACACAATGATGCACTGGGGAACTGTGGGCGGACTTGTGTGACATCATCGGCGGTGACGTGCGTGCTACTCTAACAGAGTGAAAGACGGCAAGCAGCGAGTGCGCGGGCACGTACATCACCAACTGGCCACGTTTGCCAGCCTAACTAAAGCTAGAAAAGCCACATGATAGGAATAGCACAGTGCCGCTATTGCCGTAAGTGCACCAACTCTTTAAAAGAAGATTGTAAATACAGTAGAACCCTGACAAGATGCCCCCCCTCCCCGCACCCCCCCCCCCCCCCCCGCCCCCCCTCCCCCCCCCCCCCCGCAATGGGCAGCAGGACAGTGTACCGTTCCTGTGTGTTTGCGTTTGTTGACACGACAGCGTCCGAGATACTTCTCATCCTAGCATACTGTCGTGGACATGGAAATCCGGACGATTGACCGGGGCCGGCGCCCTCAGCGCGTACAGAACGCTGCATGTTGATCCGATGCGACTAGCGCGCTGCAGCGCATAAAATGCATGCGTGTCCCGCTTATCCACAGCTGCATGGCCAGCGCCCTGGGGCCGCTAGACCTGCGACCGGATTTCCATGTCCACCACAGTACTTGGGTATTGATCAAAATGCCCCGTACTTGGGACAATGTCCGTACCAAGCACGAGTACTAGTATGCCTTGTCCCGCAGAGTATGTACTAGGTGAGCTCCACTGGGATTACTACACTGGGCTCCAAGGAATGTTCGGATTATCCCAGGCTGAAAAGGAATACCGGTATTCTTCGTATTCTTCGTTCCCGTCATGATCGTTAGAATGATTTCGGAGGCCACTGAAACTAGCCTTTGTAATATTGATTGTGTGCATCTGGTGCAAAATGGGAGTGCGATTGTCTCCCTTCTTGTGCTACCCGCGGCGAGCCAAGTGAAACGCTTGTCCCTTTCACTAATGTTGAAAATTTTCCACATACCAGTTGGCATGAACAAATTGTAGCAATCTACACAATGTCATGATTTTGATGGATACAACTACTTGGTATCCAAGCCAAAGGCATGGTGTGTCACCTATGGAACAAAAATCGGGTAGCCTTGTTGGCGACGACAAAAACATTCTATGGCAGAAATCGAGGCATCATGCTGTTTTACACAATATCAGAATGTTAGGTTCGCTAATAATAATAATTGCAACACGTGTGACGAATGCCATGCCCACGTGGTGCGTTACTTAGCGGATACAACGGCTATGTGTTTCAGCACCACGCGTACCTTGGAAGCATCGACGCCACCTCTCTTGTGCAGCCATCCCGATATAATCTGCACATCCGAATAGCGTTGGAAGAGTCACAGCGGCACGCAGCGGGGAACAGGAAGAAGTATGCAAAACAGCTCATCTACAAAGATTACACGACACGCAATCTCTAAAAGCGTAAAGGGTTTCAAATACTTTCGGAGACGCTGCTCTGATTTTCATACCTGGTCCACGTCGCCCATTTTCCACTCGATTCTCAAGTCCAAAGTTATCAGATCAAGCAGTAAAGAACTGGTCACCAAGCCAAGATCAATAATTGTTCGAGTCCAGCAAGGACATCGACGTCGCCTCGAGACTACGAGTAGATCTACTTCCAGTCCGGGGAAGTATGTAACACGGTAACTCGCTACTCAAGACTTAGCTACATAATATGACTGTACTGAGTACCGTGCTGGCAATATATGTTGCCGCGTAACGCGTAACGCAGGGGGGGGGGGGGTGCGGCGTAACGCGCGACCAGGCTAGTGCGACAAATTTTCGTTGAGTTCGTAACGCGCGTCCGGCGGGGTGCGGCGCCGGCGATCTTTTCATTGCAGTTTGCACAGCAAAAAAAGGCTGAAAACTGTGAAAGCACGTGTACCGCGTGGTGAAAAGTAGTTTTTGGAGGAAGCGCTCTTCCCCTATGTCACTTTCCTTTTGATGATCTTTTTGTGAACAGATCACTCTGATAGTTAAAAAAATTAATAATAGTCTTCTATTGATATCGTTGTCGCCCTTTGCCGTCGGGTTTGTAACAGTTGGATAGCAACTGAATTTCTGTGCCTTCAATGTGGATGAAAAGAAAAAATGATGCGGCAAAAGCAAAAAAATGATGCGGCAATACTAATAGCAAAAAAGTGATGCGGCAATAGCAAAAAAAGGACTGGGGCAATATAGAAACCTGTGTAACGGCTCCTGTGCGACTTTGCATGTAACGCCCTGCGTGCGGCAAACATGTGCCAATGTAACGCTGCATGGCCTCACTGCGGCAACATATTATAATTATTGCCAGTACGGTACTACTGACTGCAGTCATGCACACCCTGCACAGACACACACTGTCACTGTGGGCTAGGGCCCGGTGTAATACCGGTATGCCCGAAACTTTGCCGAAAATGCTTTTCCCCGAAAATGCTCCCAAACCTTGCCCGAAAATGCTCACTTTTTTGTAATCCTCAGCACACGCCGTCAAAACCAAGGAGTCAGAAAATACTCAATTATTTTAATAAAGAGACTTGCTCGAGTCTGCCATGGTAAACAATTCATAAACTACTGACCGACAGTACTGACGTTCTACAACTAACTGGTTTTAAAACAGCTCTAGTACATTTTGGATGCGCATTCCAACTAACTGTTACTTGGAAGGTTCTAAGTAAGTTATAATGATAACATAAGGCTCAGGGGGGAGGTGAGCGCAACCAAGACGAGCACGAGCTGAACGTCTCAGCTGTGAAGGACGTTGGTGGGGTTGGGTGTGAAACTGCTACTTGTTACCGCTGCTCTAAATAATAATTGTCATACTAGTACTAGTAGTCGAAGTACAGTGCTGTTTTACTGAGGCGTTCGGTTTTGCATGATTCTTGTTCGCATAGCTTCCCCGTTTATTGATCTCCGCATCTTTGAGCCACACAAGTTGTGTGGAATGTTGCTTTGCGTCCTTGAATCGTGGTTTGACCGTATTGTCCAATGGTCTTGCCAGTACCGTCATCGACATGCATGAACATCCGCCAACGTCCTTCACAGCTGAGACTTTCAGCTCGTGCTCGTCTTGGTTGCGCTCACCTTCCCCCTTATATTATCATTATAACTGTTACTTAGAACCTTCCAAGTTGGAATGCGCATCCAAGATGTGCTAGAGCTGTTAGTTGGAGAACGTCAGTATCGTCGGTCAGTGTCGTGCAATGTTATCGCATGAGCTGATTGTTTAGTAACTGGTGGTGTTAGAGGACGTAGCTTGTACATGTAATCGGATGTAGTTCCTTGGTCATTTTTATCTTTACTTATAAAGAAGAGGCACCTGTGACGTGTGTTTGTGTGTGTGTCACGCAGAAGCGCTGCGGAGCAGTTTCTTACAGATACCGCCGATCATCTCTACAACCCACGTGCACCGATGATTGTTCTGGGTGACCTAAACTGTGACACACTGCGAACACCACCCACATCCCACCTTCACCATTTCAAAGAGTTCTGCAGCTCACTTCACCTTGAGAACATAATCTCCTCTCCCACACGATTCCCCAGCCAATCATGTCTAGACGTTGTACTGGTCGATCAACAGTTGCTAGGCGTGCGCCAGGCAGTTCCAGAGCTTTCATCTGGAACCAAGCTGTACATCCCGTAGTAGACGTCAGTGATCATCACCTTGTAACTTTCTCCTACAGCGCCCCTGGTAGAGCTTCATCACCCGCAACTACAGGGATACGACATATCCGCCGACCACCTCTGTCTTCAATCAGCCCTGCAGGCCTGATATGCTGAAAACCGAAATCGCAAAGAATGTGGCCGAATCGACGAGCGGCACCTTCCAATCGCTGGATGAATCAGCATCAGCGTTTCGCGACAGCGTCCTGTTGGCCGTAAACACGCTGTGTCCACTACGGCCCTGTCGCAGTCAGAAATCACGGAAACCTAAGCCATCCCCGTGGTGTACACCAGCGCTAACAAATCTCTTCCACCGTCGCAAACATCTTCACCGCGGGGTTATGAGAAACCCGACTGACACCCAGCTCTTGCAACTGTACCGTGCAGCAAGAAGAGAAGGCACGCTGCTTAACAAACGCCTAAAGAATCAATATTTAGTAAGGGAGTTCTCAGACTGCCGAAATGATCCTCGCCGCCAATGGAAACTGCTCAACAAACTCCTTGGTCGGAACACCACTCCAACACCTCTCAAAGCCGACGTTTCCAGCCTCACCAACTTCTTTGGATCGGTCGTCTCTGACCCAGAGCGACCCCCTTCCCTGCAAATCCCCCAAGGCCCCCGACAGCTCACCAGTTTCGCAAATTTCACCCCTGTCACTACCACTGAAGTCTGCAAGCTCCTCAAGAAGATCTCCCCTTTCAAATCCACCGGATCCGACGAACTCCCACCCCTTCCTCTGAAGATCTGTGCAGAAGAACTAGCCGGTCCCCTCTGTCTCATTTTCAACGAATCACTCTCCCTCGGTTCCTTTCCAGACATATATAAAGTAGCGTCTGTATTCCCCCTCTTCAAGAAAGGCAATCCAGAATGTCCCTCTAACTATCGCCCCATATCTCTACTCCCCATCGTATCCAAGCTTCTAGAAAAGATCGTCCTTCATCAACTGCAGCGCTATATCAACACCCACCCAGAGCTCAACATTCTTCCTTCCCAACAGTTCGCCTACCGCTCTGATCATTCCACAGAGGATGCACTTTCACTGGCTATATCAAAGTGGCAACAACGCTTGGATGACGGTCAGAACACCGGAGTGTTATTCTTGGACATGAGCAAGGCGTTCGACCGGGTCAAGCACCAGCCACTCATCAACGAGCTCTATTCCTGCGGTATTTGTGGCACAGCACTATCTTGGTTCGCCTCCTATCTAAGCGCTCGTCGACAGACAGTGACGAACCCCTCCACAAAAACATCCGGCGACTCCGTGACCTGTAGTCGAGGGGTACCTCAAGGCTCTGTCCTGGGCCCCGTTCTTTTCACAATCTACACAAGACACGTAACAGACGTCACACCAACTCACACATCTAACATACTCTACGCCGACGATATAGGACTCTACACATCGAGCAGCTGCATCAACACGATACAGGGCCGACTATCAGAGAGCTTCGATGCGGTTAAATCACACCTCACGGAACTGGGCCTCCTACTGAACCCCGACAAAACTCAACTATTAATCGTCCGCCGGAAGACAACCCCATTTCCACCTACCTTCACTGTCATCTGTGGTAACTTCCCAGTATCCCCTTCCCAGTGTGTCCGTTACCTTGGAGTGCTAGTCGACCAGCACCTTGCCTTCAAGGAGCAGGTCGGGAAAGTTGTTGCTGACGTCAACCGTAAGCTGGCCGCATTCCGCAGAATACGACATCACATCACCACCCAGGCACAACGTTCCTTTTACCTAAGCATTATCCAATCCACCATGGAGTACGCCAGCAACTGCTACGTTCACACGATATCAGCAACCCTATACAACACACTCATTCGATGCTTCAAACGTAGCCTCAGGATAACATTTGGCTACCCACCATGCCACCCAACCGCCACCATTTGTCAACGCCACAAAATTATTCCTGTCGCCATCCGTTATAACCTAAAGATATTTTGCCTTGTCTATAAATGTGTGCATGGCCGCCGCAGCCCTCTACTTGCCGAGCTTTTTGTACTTAGATCAAATAGCAACCATACCAATGCCTTGACCAGGGGACAGTCCGCCCTGGCTTTAGCCCTGCCTAATGCTTCGTCACGGTACGGTTTCTATGCTTTGCCTTACCTGGCTGCTGACAGGTGGAATGAGCAGCATGCCGCCAGGCAGCCTCCTTTGCAATGTTCAACAGTACTCTTCGCAGCCTCTTTTGCAACACATAATGGCACAGTATGCAGCCACCGTTTTCTTTTTTTCTTTACTCTATTTCACACACTTACGGCTTTCTTCATTCAGCTCTATATCACGCACTTACCTAGGGTACCCTGTAAAAAGACTCACAGTCTGTGGGGATTGCCCTAGTAAAATAATAAAATAATTAATTAATTAATACTACTACTAGTACTCGCTGCCCTGAGCACGCCAAGGGTGCGAACAGTGTAGCACAGTGTAGCTAGCGGCCGCAGAAGCACTGAGCACGCGAAGCGTGCGAATCGTGTAGCTAGCGGAAGCAGCCACAGAAGCTCAGTACAGTACGTACTGCAGTACTGAGCACGCGAAGCGTGCGAATCGTGTAGCCACCACCACGTGCTGAGCACGTGTGCTGTTCACGTCACGTCGATCACCGGTGCACCCGCATGCCACGTAAGGGCGCGTTCAGACTACCGTGAACCCCGTCAAACCGTGAATGCCGATAAACCGTGAAGGACATTCACACTACCGATAACAAACTAACGTGACCGTGAAGTTTTCAGCTCTCACCGCGGCACTGACAAGGGATTTTCCCTTTTTTTCGCAGCGCGCATGCAGCCTGAGCACTTTTTTACTGCCGGTAAAAGTTTACCGCCGCATCAGCCGCGGCAGTAAAACTTTCCCACCGGTAACGTGCCAGTAACGTCACGTGATCAAATCACCTTGGCGACTTTCCCTATCGGTCACTTTTTATCGGTAGTCTGAACGCGCCCTAACGCGTTCGGCCAGGCAACGCTGGCCGGGTGCTGCTAGTGCTAGTTTTCTATAAATTCATCCTTAGCTCTACATCCAAGTCCAAGTAGAACTTTGAAACCGCAGGGGGTAGATCTACGTCAGTTGGAGAGGGACTAAGTAAGAACATAACCCACCCGTGGTGTCCGCACGGCGCTGCATGCTGTGCCGTATGCGGGCACCGTTACAAGACTGAAGAACTAGGGTATCAAGAGAAGTCCATTTTCAAGGGCAGTCAAGGCTAAGCTGAACTAATAATATAAAGTCACGATGATTCTGAGGCTAAAGCTAACGTCTAATATTTGAACCTACAAGGCTACATGTACATGTACAAGTAACAATAGGCTACATAACTGTAACTAATCTCACTAAATGCAATGTTATGTGGTCAATGGTAGCAAGTCAGTCGGTGCTGCCAGATATGCTGATTATGAAACTGAAGTGAAAGGCCAGCGCTAAATAATTCAAAAAGAAACGACTAAAATGTGACATGTTATCCGTAGTTTGTGTCCAACACTAACAGTTATAAGCAAGATGCTAAATAATTTGTGGGTCATTGTCTCGTCCCGCGAGAGAATACTCCATACTAGTAGTGTTCAGGTACATGTCACGGCCTACCCTGCAGCCCGATTGTCATTGTTTGTCAAGATCCGTCAGACTGTTTGAAAAAATTTATGAAAGTGCATGATGTACATGATGTACTATCATGTACCGTGATCATGGTGATTGTAAAAGTAAAAATTGTAATAAAATAGTGTGTGGTCACTCCAGTGTGACGAATACTAGGCAATAGATATCTGTGATGATAAACTGCATGTAGCCTTTGTAGGGACACATCCTAGGAAGTAAAACTAGAGGTTCTCTTACTCCGGCTCTCTCATGACGAGTAGGACGACGAGACGGAGCGACGTGACCGGTCTGAGCCACTCTCAAGGTCAATGTGAAAGCGACGGCGCTTCTTGGGTAGGAATGTAAGTGCCGATATTGCTGATGGAGAACTGGATCTGGTGGGCGGTGACGTCTGCATCAGATCACTGCTCTGCTCGGAAACCAATGAGCTTTGGTCTGAAAGCTCTGAAGAACTCGGTGACGATTGCGGTGGAGTTGTGGTGAGGCTCTCCTCTTCTTCTTCTTCCTCCTCCTCCTGCACTTGCTCTTGAAAAAGGCCAATATCGCTAATGCTAGTTGTATGGTGGCGTCCACTGAGAGGCGGTGTAACTACTGAGACGCGGGGACTTACCCCCTCTTCCTCTTCTTCAATGATAAGACTGATGTGCTGCTCCTGTTCTTGCTGCTGGTGTTGTTGCTGTTGTCGTTGCTGTTGCTGTTGTTGCTTCTTATCGATGTTCGGGCCGGTGACCAGCAGAAAGGAGAGATCCTGGGCATGGGTTAGGATAATGGCTGCCTGGATGGACAAGACGCGCTCGTGATTCTTGAAGCCGTCGAACTTGTCCCAGTATACGCTGTGCTCCCAGATGTGCTTGGTAAAGCATACTTTACTCTTGTACGGCTTGCCTACAATATGGGTCACACAACAACAAAAGGAGAGATGGAGATGTTAGAGTTTTAAGCAAGAGCAACAACACACGCATTCTGACTGTACTGTAGTCGTAATGGACATACTTTTGAGTACATGTGCGTACAATCCTAGTCAATACTGGAAACAGTACTAGCAACAGCTTATACTCAATATAAGAATGGTCTACCAATGAGTAGTCACATCGCTTCAGTAACGTTATCAACAGGTACTCGTAAACATCTGGTATTAAAATTAAAATTTAACGACTCCCTGGTTTGTATACACGCGCTACTAGTACACGTACTAGTTTGATTGTATCAGTGCATGTATTGTTGGTGTGAGTAGAGAGGTGAAGCGCAAACAGCAAGCACATGGTTACACTTACCACAGATACAGCAGACGATCTCCGGTCCAGACGCCTCGTCGTACATCTTCAACAGGCGAATAACACCATCCAGCTCCAGTGATCGCATCACGCCGCTATTGGTTTGATTAGCCGCCGCCGCCGCTGCTGCCGCCGCAGCATCACCACCGCACACTTCGGCCAGTTCAGCCTGGCTGAGCTGAGGATGGAAGGGGGTGTGGTGGATATTGTTCGGTTTAGATGAGAAAGTGTTGAACCCACCGGTGGCTGGTGCTGCTGCTGCTGCTGATGCGTTGCTGGAGCCAGTGTTCATGGTGTTGTTGGTCTTCAGCAGAAAGCTGGCCAGCTTGCCGTCATGAGACATTCTGCGCTTGCCTACCGACTCCATTCGTTGTGGAGCTGGAAAGCAACGTACACCACACGGAGTGGGGGTATGATTGTTGGTAAGATAGGCGCTCACTGGTTGATGACGGGCCATCACCGCAGAGGTGGTCGCTAAAGGAAGGAAGGAAGGACGGGGGAAGGTTGTTGTTCAATTGGAAATTGGAAAATATTCTCACTAAAACTTTTCGGTTCGGTCAAGATTGGTTGTAATGGTGCTACAGTCCCCAGTTCAGCTCTTTATAGCGGATATTCTCGACAAGGACGACATGACTTGTGTGTGCACGTGTGTGTGTAACGTTTTGTGTGTGGTATGGAATTCGCCTTCTCTATGTGAGGAATTCTTTGCGGTACTCCAAGCGGACAACTGGTCCCGACTGCATGCTAAGCATATGCTCCGTGGGCTGGCGATGTTGGCGGTCTGTAGGGTATATGCAATAGATGCGAAGCGTGCAGCACAGAAAGTCACGGACTATGAACGCAGTACGGAGCCACTGAGTATTGTCATCCGTATGCTAGTACTAGTAGTACTGCTCGGCCACGCAAATACTTGAAGAGGACACCCGCCAGTCTAAATGCCATAGCCAGCACTGGGGGTGGCAGGCCAAACGTTACCTACCACCAGTCACTGGCACTTGAGGAGATACCCACCGCGGCGCTGCTCCGTTTCTCCCACGAATTGGGCACTCAAAACAGACACCACAGTACACACATGACTGATGTACAACGGTATACCGTGTGTATACTGTATACTGTATACTGTATACTTGGTGAACCACATACCATGGTATACATGTACAGTGTCGTGTAGAGATACAATGGGATTATGTAGAGGGGGAGAAAGAGGAACACCCAACATGCTGTAGCCTGTCACGTACATGCATCATTCCTAGGTACTAGGTGATAGGCTGCGATTTCATGCTGTGTGACTGGCTGTGGAAGACCATAATTCCATTACCATGATTACCACGCGAACCCTAGTGCCACCACTCCGCCGCCTTGGTTCAGGCATATACAATGAAATGCAACAAAGGATCCGCGCATTCCGCGCAACCACGGAACCAATGCACACTGGTCGCGTGGCGATCGCCTACTCGTAGCAGTGTTCACCAGGTTCACACCCACTACCCTTCACGAGCGTTAGCCGGCGGAAAGTAACAGTACAGTAGTTCACTGTTCCAAAGCTCATGAAAAATGTGTAAGGTTCGCACGTCCGCTTGTGTTTGGACGTTAGAGACACGAAAGGGTGCACCCACACAGGCACTAATGCCACGACTATGTAGAGTCTACAGAGTACAGTCGCTCAATCTCACTGAGTCACTGAGGCAATCTCCGGACAGCTACTACTAGTACTAGTACAATCATGTATATGTAATAGTAGAGGCTTCGACCTTGTTAGGTCACCTCAATCATACAATGTAGGAGCTCAAAGTCACTGGCACTGGCAGAACCGATCGCCATGATGTCCAGTGAACAACAGCGTTTGCAGTTATGCAGACCGCCGCATACTACTTACCGTACTGGCAATATATGTTGCCGCGTAACGCGTAACGCAGGGGGGTGCGGCGTAACGCGCGACCAGGCTAGTGCGACAAATTTTCGTTGAGTTCGTAACGCGCGTCCGGCGGGGTGCGGCGATCTTTTCATTGCAGTTTGCACTGCACAAGAAAAAATGATGCGGCAAAAGCAAAAAAATGATGCGGCAATAGCAAAAAAAGGACTGCGGCAATATAGAAACCTGTGTAACGGCTCCTGTGCGACTTTGCATGTAACGCCCTGCGTGCGGCAAACATGTGCCAATGTAACGCTTCATGGCCTCACTGCGGCAACATAATTATATTGCCAGTAGTACGGTATTAGTAGTACAGTCAGACCTCGCTTATCCGGTCCTCTTTTATCCGGATCCCTCGCCATCCGGAAGAAAATCGCTGGTTACCGATTTACAGCATATGCCATGCGCATACACACAGTACTGTATGTGTGTTCGGTTTTCCGGTTCCCTCGCCTATAGCTATCCGGATATTTTTTGTGGAAAACGGATTTGTGCGGTTATGCGAGGTCTGACTGTACTAGCAAGAGTACAAACATACTACAGCTGTACAGTGAAACCTCGTTAGGAAGAACACGGATATTAAAGACAAATGAACGCCCGTTATTGCGAACAAATATCATCGGTCCATTGGTGTTCGTCCTAAAGAGGTTTGATAGTGCAGTAGATCTACCTGTACCTTCGGCTTTGCTGGCACAACCGTGCCACAAGTCGCAGTGTTGTCTGTTGAGGCGTATGCACCTCCTCGATCCAGTGCCGCGGAATACTGGATGCAATACTGGTAGTAGAAGTAGTCAAAAATATGTGATACGACATGCCAGTGTTGGCCCGGGAACAACTTTCCGAGGTGTGCATGACTTGCAAGAACAACAACTGTCATGCTCATGGTAACGCCGGTGTCCCACACAGTCAGGAATCGGCTCGCACATCTCGTGTCTTGCTTCCCTGAACCGTCCGCACAGTCATCACGGCACTGATGTAGATCGGCAGCACTAATCTGAGCGAGGAGCTAGCAAGCATGCACCCAGATCGATGGGTGAACCAGGGGCAGGATAGACACATGCTGGATGATACCCAACCGCTCAATGACAGATCGTCCATGTTGCAATATTCTGCTCGAAATACAGCGAAATTGGCAGAACTGATAAACCTTATGGCAGGCACTTCCTTGAATTCTGCTCCATTTCTTTCCCCATACCGGTAATTATACCAAACATGCATGAAACATACCAGAAAAAGTAGCAAATTCTGCCTGCAGTCGCAAGCGCTACGTTAGATACCGGTAGCTACGAAGTAAGTAGACCTATGACATGTATGAGTGTGAGGCAGCTAGAAGAGTCTGATCAGTAAGATGATCGGTCCTCCGCTAAGAACAGGTTGTGTCTTGCTGCATTCAATGATTGTGCTGCATTGTGGTCGCTTGTGAAGTAACCTTACTTTTAGTTGAGGCAAGAGGAGGAACATGACTGACTGTACATGGCTGTACTCTCCGGCTGAACATGTAGACCTACCATAATCCGTGGAGCCAGTAGATCTACCCACTATATTCTATAACCACATGTGTACCATACTCCACAGTACATGTACCAGTCCCAGTGTTCTATGTATTGCCGAATTTGGGTTGTCTTTTGGCTTTGGTTCTTATTAATTTTTATGATTTCACGCTATTGGCTTTTTGAATAAACCCATTCACACGTACTGATCATACCGGTACATGGAATACAGATGGGAAAGTCAGTCACACGCAGACATGCTCTTCCCATTGACTGCCGTCAGGCCCCGTCTCTTACTCTGTATGTAAACATGGTAAAAATTCACCTAGGGTTCCCAGTAAAAAGGCAACGCCTGTTGGGACTCCCCTAGTAAAATAATAAAATCTACTACTACTACTACTACTACTACGCATGCAAGAGTATAATGGCTGCATTCTTGCATCCAGTTATACGTGTACGGGTATGCGCCGGCGCAAGCACTCGGAGAGGAAGTATTCGTTTTGTTGCAACTCTGAGTTGCACATGACTTAAATTTTTGGTGAAGCCTAAAGCCAAGGAAATGCGGCAAGGAACTTCGGACTCAGAAATGACCACATGTACTGTGTGGGTGTAGTGTCACATTTTCGTAATGATCGGAGTCATCATCATGATTGTAAGAAGCTTATGTCTTGAATATATGGCCCATACACCGAAATTGAGAGCTAGAAACCAATATAACCCAACTGCAGAGCTAGCTAACTGCATACATGTACATGTACACTGTGATGAGTCTTCCCGGACAGACTGTACATACTCAAGACTATTGGGGATGTTGTTCTCAGGCTAGGCACAGCAATAAATATTTTTTAGTAGCAGATCATTTCCAATGGGTGTCAATCATACATGTACTTCGAAGTACAGCTTGAGCCTGGAAGTCAAGGCAGCTCAAAAAGTACATGTACTTGAAGTAGCTTGAACACATAAAACGAAGGTGTTCTAAAAGGATCAGCTCAGATTCGACCATTGCGTTACGGCATAACTACTTGAAGTATGCACAATCATTCCTATACTCAGCGGGGGGGGGGGGGCTCATGTCGCCTTCAGCTCGCACACATGGCTACGGTATTGCCCTGGGTAGCCACTGTGTAACCTGAGTATGAGGTAATGCACCATGGCACCACACACTGAGTACTACGGCAGACTCCCCACCATTCAGGTAGTCAGGATTGGCCAGCTCACAACTCTGCTCCACGACGAAGGAGAGCCTGATAGATCTCATTACTGCTGACTTCCTCATCGCTGGCAGCACAACAGTTGGTGATGATGCGGAGAGGTGTATCTGTCGCAGGTACACCCATCCTAGCGTTAACTTTTGCACCAGCCTCCAACAGCAACTTCACTACTTCCAGGTGGCCTGAGCACAGAGGAACAAGAAGGTAGAAGGCTATTATGTTATACATGTACAGGTATACGCTGTGTACATCAGGGCCGGAGTCATAACATCCACGAGTAGGAAGGCAACACGGATAAGTGGAATGCAAAATGATGAGGGTTTCACTGCCAAGCTGCAGCCCGTTTCAGTTGCCTTTGAAGCGGGGTGGACTATGCACGATCGTGGATGACATATCGTACGTACGCGCTAGACTTTGAAAATTGTCGAAAATTGTGGATTTGGACCAAATCACGAAATTAATATTAAAATTTTGTTGCATCCGTAGAATCGCTATTTGCGCAGTGGATCTACTCGGTAGTAGGACGAGTCGTACTGCGCAAATAACCTGCGTGATCGTGGAAAGCACTGCGTGAAAGGTGCATAAAATTGTAAAGAAAGTACAGAAAACAACAAAACGGCGGGAAATCACGGATTTTGCAGAAAATTGCGGGTTTGGGCCAAAATCGCGAAATGTGTTGCATCCGTGGAATCGCAATTTCCTGGAGGGACAGTATACATGGTATAGAATGGCTTTAGAGGGTGTCCAGGGGTGGCCAGGAGGTTGGACAGTCTGCTAAATAGAGCCCTGGGGCTTCTATTCGCACCTATACGGTAGCTGGTTTGTACTGCAATTTCCTGTTACCTAGACCACGCATCACGTAGAACTAATACTTTCAAATCCGAAATTGAAAAAACAATCATCATTCAAAGACACATGTACTATGGCCTAGTGTCGCCTCTCTAGCTGCTACGACTCCCTCAGCATCTACTCGAGTATTGGGCAGGGCCGCAGCCGCGGACCACCGGGCCCGGCAGGTTGGGCAACTGCCGGACCAATGTTCGGAGGGAAAACAGGTCAAGAGGCGCCTGCAGCACAGGACAACAGTAAGGGACTTGAAGCGACCACTCAAGTGCATTCGATCAGTTCGAGAAAAAAGTGGTCAAAGAAGAAGAGTGCTGGTGGTTTTTCGATTCGTAGTTGTCAGTGGTGAATTATTCTCAACTGGAGATGAGGTAACTATTCGAGGTCTAATAAAGAATTTGACTTACAAGTAGAAAGTCCCCTTTTCCTTGAGAAAAGAAAGTAGGATTTACAGGGATGAGAAAGAGCTTTCAAAGCATTGTACTGGGGTGCGATTCACTTAGGCCTTACGATGTCAATATGTAACAGCAGTTTTTTTGTAAGCGATGAGATCATCACTGAAAGAATTATTTCCTGGCAGATATGAAGCGAGAGCTCGCTAGATGGAATACTACGAGGTGATTTGGCTTTTTTTAAACAAATGTTTAAAATTTGCTTTCTTTTGGCTGTTTCTCTGCTCCTGGTGGCGGTATCGAAACATGCGTGGTGGCTAGCCCTTTCCCAAAGGTGCTCGCCCTTTTTTCGCCTTTTTCGCCCTTTTTTGGAAAAGCCCGTTTCTTTCACCCTTTATTGCGTTTTTTGGTGAATATCGCCCTTTTTTTAGCTTAAAAAGTGCTAAAATCTGTTTGCTCATGCATGCGATCACAGTTTCCGAGTGCTCGATGATCGATGGGCCTTGGAAGTTGGCACGCCTCTTTTTGGGGGGCAACAAGTTGGTGAAGCTTGTACCCGGTCCGGTGTACACAATGCTGTAAAAAGTGGGTTTTTTTAACTTTACTTCCTGTTTTGCCTTTCGTGGACCCATAAATGGAAGAGTGCGTATTCATTTCTCAGCTTGGGTTCATATCTGAACATGTATCATGGCTATGCTTAACTGAAAAAAGTGCACATTTTCAGCATATTTTGAGGGACGCGAAAAGCACTAAGTGCGAATTGAAAGAGCACCTTTGGGAAAGGGCTAGTGGTGGCAAATGATAGCCAGTTTATCGTTTGGTATACCGGTAACTAATTATATGATTTAATTTCCCCTGCCACGTCGGTATACTGAATAGTGGTGGGTGGTTTGCCATTTTGTGTTGAAAATCGGTAAAATAGGCCCCTGAATGGACGAGGAGGGCAGTGAATTGCTTCCGCAGGGCCTTTGGACGAGGTCAAGCCGTCTTGCCATCACTGAAAAGAATACTGAAGAACAGTAGGTCACAGAATACACTCTGTGAGAACGAAAACAAGGCTATGCTACCTATCCAACTCAACCGTATGACACAACCACTAGTTACAAATTCAAAAACACAGCTCTCGCAGCATACGATGCAGTTGGTAGATTATTTTTCATCCACTAGCAATCCTTGAAGTGATATCTATCAACTTCAGAACACTTGATGACCGAATATCCCAGTTTGTGATGCCATTTTACAAGTTTGTTAAAAAAATGACACACAACTAGTATTTGAATCTTGAGAATACTATGAAAGTAGGACATGATTCAAGACACTTTCCAAAGTGGGATCTTTCCCGTTTTTTGACACAAAGGGCATGAAGGATAGAACTTACTTCCATCTTTTGGATGAAGCTTGCCTAGAAGTGGCTGAAAAAACGTCATTTTACAACCCGGTGTTAAAAAAGCCAAATCACCTCGTACAAGTAGTATAATCTACTCGCACTGAGAAGAAGGATGATGACTTTGTCACGGTTTTTTTGGACATGCACATGATGCAGCTAGTACTAGCATCACGATTGCCAGGGCTGCACATACTGTGACATAGGCATAGGACGTACAGTCATGTATTAGTAGTATACGTGTTCTACAAAGTGCGAAGCCGATAACGTTGTGGTGTAGATTCTACGCGCTCAGTCTTCCAATTATTTTCGCCATGGCTAGAAAGTCTCGAAGGGTCAAAGTAACTGGGCGCATTGAGGAAAGAAGAAAGAGAAGCAGCTTCATCAGCAAGCGGACAAGAGGTCTCATGAAGAAGGTAAATAAAGTGAGTTCGTTGTTCATGCTGTGTCACAGTGTGTGTATGCCAACCTGTCGGAAGGCTACCTTCTTGCCAAAGCATTTGGAAGTTAGTTTCGGCTCCACAATCCAGTGTGTCGTTACTATAATTATAGTTTTCATGGCTGAGGTTGTTGGTATGTCTGTTGGCTCTGGGTTTCCAGTACTCAGTAGCCGAGGCTGGTTGGTAAAGTAACTCCAATTTCACTTCAAGGTACCAGTGCATCTAGTGTCTGTTTCTATCAAAGCAGCGTGCTGTCTATACTGGTTACCCCAGCACGTGTAGGGTGCGCATAGGTAACTGTCTTGGCCGGCGTTTTATGCCGATGTACTCCGTGTGGTGTAGACCAGGTGTGCATTGGTGGTCGATTCACATGGCTTCGCCAGTTGTCTGGATTAGACAGTTATCTGGCGCTAGTCTTGATCTGTCTCATTCAGATCTTGTTCGCAATCGTTGCTATAACTTCAAGTATAAGAGAAAATCTGTGGGTGAACATCCAGTGCATTTGCAGATGTGCGTGCTTCTCTTGCGGCGGGCGTATATACATGGTATACATGGTACATGGTGTGTACAGCGGCTATAGCACGCATCTGCCAACATCGATACCCTCGATCTGAATTATTTGCATTGTTGCTGTTCTCCCCCTTTCAGGCAGCAGAACTTCACGTAGGATCGGGCTCTAAAGTAATGGTGGTGGTGGTGACTCCGAATGGCGCTCGTCACATCTACAAATCCCATCCTGGGGAGGCTCATTTTGTTGGAGAAGCTGTGACTAGGCCGACAGGCCAGCAAACTCTGGCAACAGCAACACCCCGGCCTGTCGCCAATGCTGCAAGAGCAGGCTCATAGATCAACAGCAACACCCGGCCTGTCGCCATGGCAATGCTGCAAGAGCGGGCTCATAGATCAACAGCAACACCCCGGCCTGTCGCCATGGCAATGCTGCAAGAGCGGGCTCATAGATCAACAGCAACACCCCGGCCTGTCGCCATGGCAATGCTGCAAGAGCGGGCTCATAGATCATACCAGTGATCTACATAATCTTGGAATTGAGAAATAAATGATTCAACGATGGAATGGAAAAAAACAATATCGTTGTTCGTGTGAGCAATATTGCATCATGATATATGGCGTGGGCACCCGGTGCATGATTCGGTATTCACCATCTTGATCAGATGATTAGCCAAACCGTTGAAACTATGAAATAAAGACAATAGATTCCTGACTTCACTTCAGTCAGTAAAATAAAGAAAGATACGCGCACGCACACCGGCACACACACACACACACACACACACACACAACACACAACACACAAACCACACACGCAACGTGGCGCGCACACACACACACATATTTCATAATGATTAATTTCTAATACTGGTGTCCAAAGGGGTCACAACGCACCATCTCAGTGATCAAATTATTAGCCAAACCATTGAAATGAAGTATGATCTGCACAATACATTCCTGACTTCACTTCAGTCAGTAAGATAGAGAAAGATGCGCGCACGCACACACACACACACGCACACACATACACACACACGCACACACATACACACACACACACACAACTGTGTGATCGGATGGCTCGTGTTGGACACAACGATAGCTCAAGCCATGCAGGGCACCCCCAGTAGTTTGTGCTGGCATGAAATCATTCATCCTATGATGTTCATATTGCGTGCTTACTCACAAATACACACACACGCCACATGCACACACACACACACACATACCTCAGACCTGCCCATCGCGGAAGCGATGATAGCGAACAGCTATGCTAGACATAGCAACTTGTGCTGGGATTACACCATTCAACAGCTTGCAAGGCTGATGAATTGACCGCCACTATTTTTAGCCTGGTATCCACCACACAGCTGTTTGAAGTGACTGTTTATGGCCAGTGAATCCCTATTTTTCATTTTTTTTCTACACACACACACACCACACCACATACTCCGGCATACACTGGCTGTTGGTAACCACCCAGGAGAATGAAAGAAAAGTCAGGAAGAGTACGAGAAAGAGAAGAAAGACGTGTGCGACCATAATCGTCGGGAATTGAACCTGCAGCGTCTCGATTGGAAATCGACTGCACATACCACTGCACCATATGGGACACACACGCACACCACATATGCATACATACGTGTACGTGCGCGCATTGAAGAAAAAGTAAATAACTCGATACAGCTGACAAGGTTGAGGAATAGGCCACCACAGTAAGCTCGAGCGCATGCAGACAACTAAATAATCCCAGACATAAACACACACACACACACACACACACACACACACACACACACACACACACATGCAGACACACACCTCGCCTTGTACTAGTATACAGCTGCCTGCTTAGCCACGTAGCCCCAAGGGGGAACAGGTATTCACTATTGTAACTATATACTCATGCATGAGCAGCAAAAATCCAGAACTCAGTTTGAGATGATTCACTTGTAAGGGCTAGGGCTTGGCGGAAAATGCCGGCAGAAAAATTGGCAGAATTAAGTACATTTTCTGGTAATTTTATGCATGTTCGGTATGTGGATAAAGAAATGGAGCAGAATTCGAGGAATTGCCCGCCATAAGGTTTGTATGGTTCTGCCAATTTCGGTGCAAAAAAAGCAGAATCTGCCACCTTTTCGAGCATTATCCGCCAAGGCTTAGTAAGGGCGCGTTCGAATTGTCTTCATCAACTGTTCGAACACATTTTAAAAGAGATTAGTTGAAGTGTCCCATTAGAACGGTTTATATCATTTTCAGAGTTTTTCAGTGGAATTGTCACGGCGATGATGACGTCCGATCAGATCGACCATCTCCACGTACTACGTGACATAGCTATTCCAAACTCTTCGGAACTAATCTACCTTTCCCATCGGATGAGGTTGTGGAGTTTCGAGGAGTTTCGTTTTTCTGAAGAGGCCAATAAGGCCACCTCTTCAGAAAAACGAAACTCCTCGAAAAATCAAAGAGTGACAATTCGAACGTGGCCTAAATATCACGGTAGACCTAGCAGCTTGAGAAACTCTTGAGCAGAAATGGAAAACTGTGACCATGATTAGTGGGAAAGGATACCTGGATAAAAACAAAAACTACCGACCACATGAAACAGAATTAGGTCGAGAGCCCTAACTCATAACTTGATAATGGACAAGAATGCCAGTAACAGGCTGTAGATCAAGATCTGCCCCACAGTCAGAGTAATCACAGAATCTTATCATTGCAACCACACTCAATTTACGGTAACTGAATTCATTAATAAATCGACCAATAATATATTCACACAGCCGTACGCCTAGAGAAGCTAAGCCACAATGTTCCTAACCACTCCCTTTGGTCGATGATTGCCCAAAGGCATGGAACTTGTGACTACTGAAGTGATAGTAGCAACAACACCAAACATGTGGAAGTTGTGGGTAGTGAAAACAGCAAACACAACCCCACTACACAGCAATACCACTATGACGACTCACCATCATGAATCTTGCACTTCATCTTGCAGTGACACCAACTGGCGTAACTCGACAATAGTCTTCAGGACACTGGAATGATTGCCGTCAGAATCCATCTCTGAGCACAGAGTCTCAGTGCGTATGATATCTGGAAGCTGATATAGAAGCTTCTGGAATTCTTGTCGTAAGGATGCGATGGTTCGCCTTAAGTCCGCAGCCAGCTTATCTCTTTCTGCCACCATAGGCTCGGATGGTCGTGATGACGGGTAATTGCCATCTGCAAACTGTTTCTGTTCCGCAAGCGTCTTCCTCCTCTTCCTTCCCTTTGTTGATACTTGGGTGAACAGCCTGCTGGCAAACGTGCAGCCTGCACACGTGCATTCTATCGCTTCCATCTGACGCATTCGGCGCTTTCAAGCCTTTGGCGAAGGAACTGCAGTCCCACCAGTCATGCAGCCTATGAACGCCTCAACGACAGGGTTGTACTTATTAGAGCTCAAACAATCTGTTGGCATCGTCATTTGTTTTTCAATTGTTCGATTTTCCTGCTTGGCTGTAGCAGAAAGTGGAGCGATTAAATTAAAAAAATATAGATGAGTACTTGGCTAGCGTTAATGGACGTGTTGCACTTGTTGGGAAGATTTGCTTTCATGAAGCGCCTGTTTTCGCGAGCAAAGCATGCACATTTGTAGAACATGCCAAGGAAAATCGAACAATTGAAAAACAAATGACGATGCCAACAGGTTGCTTGAGCTCTAATAATCAGCTTCTCCCTGGCAAGAACCTCTTTACACATCTCCAGTTCCTGCTGTAAAGAGGCCGTGGCATGTCCTAGATAGGACATCTCCCCGACCGATGTATAATGATTTGTGCCTTCAGGCTTCAGTTGCGCTGAAAAGGTAAATTTTAACTTAAAATACAGGACTTTTGTATAGGAAAGTACGGATCCCTGACATTTTTGGCTGCTTTTCGGACGTTTCCTTTTTCGGACCGGTTTTCGGAAGAGCCTTCAAGAAATCGGACACTGTCCGAAAAATCGGACGGTTTGGCAGCACTGAATGTGGGTTGTCGATGACAGCCTTTAGCGCGGTTCGTTGAGCGGGTTCTTGTTAAAAAAAACACCGTTGAAAAAACGTCACGAAGTTTTTTTTGTATACGGAAGAGGTATCTGTTTGTTTGTGACGGTGCTGCTGGTGGTGGTGGGGGGGGGGGGAGGAGGAGGGGTGTTAATTGAGACTGGATCTCGCCGGACCATTCAGAATGAGGCTGCTATGGGCCTGTTGTGAGTGGACTCAGTACAGCAGTTCGAAGAGTAAATATGCCACCAAGTGTGTGTGCAACTCCAATCCTTATGGGGTTTCCGAAGGAATGATCTATGCAATTCTCCTTGCAGATAGGCAATATATCATGACATATTAGTAGGTAGATGCTGACCACGTACCGTTCAGCACTGCCATATGTAAGGGTGTAGCTCCTTTGCATTCTGCATTCCATCGGTTGCAGTTGATCTTAGCGTCCAGCATACACTTGGTGGCACTGGCATCACCCCGGGTTGCTGCAATGTGCAGTGGTGTGTTACCAGAACGGTGCGCTGCGATATCAAACACTCTCGACGGAAGTACCTGCAAACAAGAACGACGACGACAACAACAACGACATTATCATCATTTGGTTTGAAACAAAAGCTAAATGAGAGTCAAATCCCCGCCTTCCAAGAGGGATTCCTGGAAGGATGGATAGGCTACAAGTACTGTACTTGTTTTCAAAATGAACATGCCACAATCTGGATTTTAAACAATCACTACCACCAAGCATTGTGTGGAGCCACTAACTCCGGACCCCCCCCTCCCCCCCCCCCCCCCCCCCCCCGTCACACACTCAGACATGGCCATCGCGGAAGCGATGATAACGAACAGCGATGTTAGACATAGTAACTTGTGCTGGGATTACACACCGTCACACAGTCACACACACACACACACGTACACACACGAGCATGTTCTCTGTGTGAGACTGTAGTGTGTCTCACCGGCCCCGGCTTGCACAGTATCCCGCTGTCTTCAACGGCTATCACTTTGTGCTGCACAGTGTCATTCTGAATGTCTGACCTACATAATTAATAGTCAGGCGCGTGCACCGTATGAGTTTTTTGGTGTCTGGAAACCACCTTTTTTCGGGCAATCTTGCCAAAAGAAAAGCGTATAGTACTGGATTGGTTATCGATCCTGCAAACGTATCGAACGACGGGCAGTTTACAGTACAGTGACTATGTCCTTATTTCGAAGTGAGAGAGAGTTGCTTTGCATGCAGTTCGAAATACATTATTCTCTTTTTCTTCAGTGGAGAGTAGCCACGGAGAGATCGATCTCTAGCTCTGGTTCGCTCCTGGATTGGCGATGACGTTCAAGAAATCCGTTTTGTCTCGAAATTTGAGTCAAGCACGCGCGATGCAAGTCAGTTCAAGGATATGATTGACGATATCTCCTTCCAAACCGTTGACTCAAATCAAGATCGCCACAGCCTTTCGTTCTCGCTCATGTGCGCAGCAGAGATGTTCGTCAAAAACGTTGTCGACTGGAAGACGTAAAAATTTGCGTCCATGATCCACTTGCGCTGCTTCAGAACGAAGCGCTGCTCCGGCCGCGACTCAAGGACGCGGGGCTTCGCTTTTCTTCCGCGAGCTTCCATCGAAGCAAGGTCCATAACTCTCTATTGAAATCATGTGGAACATTGCCAATACATGCTGAAAGATACGTCGAATGTAAGCAGTGTTTTGATGAAACAAACAAGCCTGGAGTGGACTAGTGAAGTACCATAGTCTGATAGACATAGTGTTATAGACTGTAGTGTAGCCTGGGCAGCTAGGCCTATCAAACCTTTACGTGTTCAATAATTTTAATTATGACAAACATGCATATGAGTACATTGACTGTTGCACCCTCTTTGCAAATGCTTTTTGAAGTGCTGGTATGTAAAAGGTAACCCGTTTTATCCTGCTATCGATTATACATGTACCAACATTTCCATGTAACCGGCATCGTCCCCTCCCTCCATTCCTCTTTATTCTTATTTCTGTCCTTTCTACCCCTGTACCTGGTTCCCTCTCAGACGCGTTTGTGCCGGCATGATCTGATGATAGCAGTCGGACGAGCCCCGCATCTCATCAGCACCAGTGCTCATTGGTGCCCTGCACCCCTGATCTTGAGTCCCCCCCCCCCCCCCGGGCCCCCTCCCTCCTCCCTAGCCGGCTGCCCTCGCCGTGGTTATCTCCGACGGGATGTTCGGGGGACGCGCATGTGCACAAAATTCATACATAATTATACAATCGGGCCCCAGAAAAAAATTACCAACTCTAGAAACCCCCCTTTCAAGACTCGGTGCACGCCACTGATAGTTATATACCTGTGTGAGGAGTTGCAGCATTGAGAGCTTCTCCTGTGTCACTGCATGCAATGGCAGTGTTCTACCGTCGGCATCCTGAACATCCTTAGGTAGACACGCTATGACCTGGTGTATAGTTATGCTGGACTTGTACCGACGAGGTGAACTTGGTGCCGCTGCTGTCGAGGCCTGATCTTCCTGTTCACATCCCAGCAGGAACAACAGGATATCTTTACTCTCTGCCCTAATGGCAGCGAGTGCTAAATCGAAACACATCTTTCTGTACGGTAGCCTTTCCAGTGTTCTATTCTCAGTAGTGATATTCTTGAAATCTAGCTGGCTTTCGCAGCAGAAAGCAAGCAGTAGCTTCTGGCACAAGCGCGCCAGTGCATACACCCTGGCGGATAGTAACCACTGGATGTGCGGCTGGCAGTTACTCTCACATCGCACGTCGGACAGCACATCTCTGTACATGGTCTGCTGAACAGCGGTCAAGTCGTCCAGCTCCGCGGCTAGCAGACACACGTAGCGCAGCAGTAGACTGAATCCGTCCGCGCTCTGGTAGAGACGTTTGGGATACTCCCTGAGCACTGCTCGCAGCAGAAAGCGCAGCTGCCTGTCCGACACGGAGCCGTCCTTAACACCTACATGCAAAGCATGGCTCAGACATGCCCGGATCTCTCCTGCTTCAGCGTCTATAACAACCTTCTTTGGCTGCTCACGTAAACACAACCACCACTGCAGAAAGCGAAACACGTTGCTAGGAGATTTCCAAAATTGGGCGAGGTCAGCAATGATCTGCTTGGCTTCTTGTAACCAGAGGGAGACCACCTCTGCGTCGATCACCTCCAATACCTGGTCAAGTAGTTCCCGATCAGGCATAGGCGTACGTAAATTCCTTTCACGCGCCGCCGCAGCCACTGCTGCAGATCTTTCAGGCCGGTCCCCGCCATTGCCGTCCCCAGCAAGCGCTTCCTCTGAAAATTGCACCTTATGTCTTCGTGGTCGGCGTGAACCTTGACTGACACTATCGTGCTCTCCTATACTGACCCGGTGACTCTGGCTACTTTGCTGTGGGCCAATCGGGGATTCTTTTAGCTCGCCGATCTCGACATCGTCTCCGCTGCTACTATCCTCAGCATCACTGAGCCGTCCCTGCAGGCGAGAGAGCACTACAAGCTCTCGCAGGTGGTGAGCCATCTTGTTGACTGCACTCTCCACCTACTGCGGGTTGGCTTGCAACCTAGCGTCTTTCTTCATGACTAGTGCTCATGATTCAATCTCCTATCACTTTGTTAGGTAGCTGCAGTTGTTGTGCGTTGCGGGCATCGTAACTAAACAACACAAACTGATCACAGCGACCCCTCAAGTAACATTTTAGTTCTAAGCAAGGTAGCAGTGATCACTAATTTTGTGGATAAAGTTAGTTTGTTTGTTTCATGTGCGCTGATGAGGCTTTGAGAGAGTATTTTTACCAGAGCCTGGCTAGAGCTCAGACTACTACTACTAGAGGGCGTTGTGTTCTTGGTGTTGCTGCATGCCATCGACCGACTCCGCACATTATTTTTGTACCTCGGTCGTGACCACTCACTCACTGACGTGACCATGCATGCTGACTGTACTGTCAGTGTCACCAAGAGTACATAAACCAAAAAAAAGTTTATGTACTCTTGGTGTCACTGATCCAGTACATGTAACATGGTATGGTCCTGGCCTGGGGAGGTGGGTTGGGCACTTCACACCAGTCACCATACGGTATACCACTGCCCTGGCACTGGCACTGGTAGATCTACGACCTGCACTCGCTGCAGCTAGTGAACGAGTTACCATGGTTACCAGGGCCTGCTGGAGAGCCGGGTCAGCCGGGTCACGCGCCCGGCTGGGGAACTGCACGACCTGGCTGAACAGATAACACCGGGTCCAGTCTGACCCGGCTGAAAAATGTCTCAAACTGACAATGGATTCATAAAATTCCAGTATTTTACGACTCGCGGACCCCATCTCTTGCAAATCTAGCGCAACCGTACACACTACAGTCTACCATGGTCTACAAGCGACAGAAACTCGGCGAGGGTCAACTGCGGTCACGTCAACTGGTTCGAGCACGATCTGGCCAGCTAGCGCCGGCGAGCAGGAAGTCAGGACATACAAAGTCGATGGGGCAGGCAGTCAAAAGCGTTACTTTGAAGTCTTTGGCTATAGCCTTGACACAGTTGCAATTTTTCAGCCGACTGGTGATTTGGACGATGGAGCCCGCAGCGAAGAGAAAAAGAACTCACGCTTTCCAAGACTCTTGGAAGAAAGGTCGACCCTGGCTGGACTACGACCATGCCAGTCTATCCATGTCATGCGCTTTGTGCAAGACGCATTTCCAAAGGAAGATGAGCGGCGATGGATTTGGTCGTTCGTCCTGCTACTAGCAATAATTAGAAAACAGAATTCCTTTTTTTTCAAATTGTTAAATCAGAATCCAATGGAACTGCTTTGCATTCTTCACGTAATGTCGTTTACCTTTTACGTTTGCGGACTTTGATAGTTCGCCTTGTTCTCTAAAATTTCCGATTAGCAGGCTTTTTGGTTGTTTTTCTGCCGGATGATCTGACCCGGCTTGACCCGGCTGGCCTGCATGCGCCAGGTACACTCTGACCGGGCTGTGTTGAATGTCTAGAGCAGGCCCTGGTTACGTGGTGCATCCGGCCCTGAATGAAGTAGTTAAAGGGGAAGTTAAAGGGGAAGTATACCCTAAAATCAAATTTTCACCAGTTGTAGTCTTCGGGGTGCTGAGTCGAATGGTCTTGGTCCGAGGAAGCTGAGACGCTCCCTTCCTACTTGAATCCCAATCGAACTCGCGCACTTCCACCGAAACTGGGTGACTGCGCCCTACTAGATGGGGATTTGTATGCAAAATGTCACTAAAAGCGCCATTTCGTTCTTATAAAAGCACGGATGACCGCGATTGGCCCATATGTTGTAGTCTTTTGGACGCTGAGTCGACTGGTTTTGGTTCGAAAAGGCTGCGATGCAGCGTTCCTCCTTTATTCCCAATCGAACATGGTTGAACAAGCGGTCACGTGCTCCTGCGTACACCAGTCACCTGGTCACCGTGCCTGCAGGGTACAACTTACTAGCCTGTTTGACCTTTTTTGGGTGCAGTCCTGTCACTCGAGTTGAACTCGAGTTGAACCTTGGTGTGAAAGTTGTCGCCTGCTGGCGCGGTGACCAGGTGATTTGGGCACCCAGGAGCACGTGACCGCTTCTTCACCCATGTTCGATTGGGAATAAAGGAGGAACGCTGCATCGCAGCCTTTTCGGACCAAAACCAGTCGACTCAGCGTCCAAAAGACTACAACATATGGGCCAATCGCGGTCATCCGTGCTTTTATAAGAACGAAATGGCGCTTTTAGTGGCATTTTGCATACAAATCCCCATCTAGTAGGGCGCAGTCACCCAGTTTCGGTGGAAGTGCGCGAGTTCGATTGGGATTCAAGTAGGAAGGGAGCGTCGCAGCTTCCTCGGACCAAGACCATTCGACTCAGCACCCAGAAGACTACAACTGGTGAAAATTTGATTTTAGGGTATACTTCCCCTTTAAGGGGGGAATGACCCTTCGCGCACGCCATACTGGACCGTACATGTCAGAACGACCACAACTTCCGTTTCCTTCAATATTTCTTGATGAAATTTTCACCATGTCTTGATGGAATAACATACAACAGATCAATGGCACTCTGAATGAAAATAAACTAAAGAAAGTTGGAAGATTTGACAACAAAAGGATAATTATCGCACAACGGACAAAAGCTAAACGGTGCGCAATTTTATCAGAATGTAGTTCATCAGAATCATCTCTTTCAGCCTTAGATATTTAGATTATAGGTACACGCAGTGCGTTTGCCTAATATCACACAGTCCTAAACATCAGTGGCAGTGGTACAGCTCTCACATGCTGCACTACCGCACATGCGCAGTTACCTCACGGATGGAATGGGCAGAATATGCACACAGGATTGAAGAAATCTCCTGCCCATAGGCAAACGCACAAGCTGACATCACACAGATTTCAAAAATGTATACTTTTGCATGTCCATTCTGTACAAGTGAGCCAGGAAACTGCGCGGAGTGTCAACAAACCACTAAAAATGGCAAAAATTCAGGGTATATTTAGGTCTATATTCAGGGTATGTTCAGCACTTTTCATACAGCACTATCACGATGCAGGCAGATAGCTGCACTAAAACTTGCCCGGTCCATAAGTATCTCCTTCCTCTTCAATAGTGGTCTCCTCCCAGCCCTTCTTTCGCCTTCTTCTCTTCTTTCTCTTCTCCTTCTCTTCTGCTGAACCTTTGCGATCGGCTTTGCTGATGCGGGTGAAATCCTCATCTTGGCATGCTTTGTGGGTCAGCACGCCAGGTACACAGTCTGCTTCCAGAAGCACACTCTCCACAGCCAGTGCACCATCATTGAAGTGGGCAACTGCAAGGCTGGCAGCGAACCGGACAACATCAGCGCCACAGAAGCTTTCCTTCTGGCACATACCCCAGATGACGCCGTTGAAGCTTTCATTTACCCTTCATCGTCTTCTTCAGCTCCCGCAAGCCCGTGCCGATGCGTTTCTGTACATGTCCAATGCACTCCTCCTTTTCAATGGCTACACCATTGTACGGGTCAGCTTCAACAACAGAATTGAATGCCTTACTGTCGCCATCTCCGATGTACGTTGTATACCGGAGACCACGATCAGCAACAGAGCGACTCCATATAATGACAGCTGCCTCGCTCTCCATGGCTGGTGCGGATCGCGCTGTATTCACTCCACAGGTGTGGGTACCTTTCCAGGCAGTGAAATCAACTGCACTAATTCTCCCGGACTCCTTCCGGTCGTTCCGCACGACACATTCCTGGCAGTACTTGCTGCTCACGTGTATGTCCAGTACACGGCCTGTTCTCCACGATATACAGGCAAAGACACCGTAGAGAGACGTATAGCCGCGCCTCATCCTGGTGCCATCGCAAGTTACCGCCACAGTGTCGCAACCATTCAGCACCTTCACCTCGTCAGCAGCATTCACCATGCTCTTATGAGCCACAGTGGCTACAGCGATCACGAGCGCTTCCTGGTGACGGGTGTAGGCATGTGTGTTCACAGGGCTGGGCATGTCCATGGTTCCGCAGAACTTATTCAGAGCGGCACGTCCCTTGCCAATTCTCCGCATGGCCAACACTGATCGCCGGTTGACGTCAAAGAACCGCTTCTCTTTCAGGCATAGGTTAAATCTCCAACTGTGACATTGTCGCACTGCACGTGCACCACCGATGCGAGGCCAACGGCGCAGCAGTCAACAATATTTATTTTTCCAGATTTGCACTCGCTACACACAGTGGCCACGTCCAGAAGCTCCTGAAGACACTTTAGGTACACAATTCTGTTGCTCCGCAAGCAATCCTCTTCTATCTCTTCTCCAGATCCCTCAGACGCCTCAGTATCGTCGTCCTCAGAACTGTCTGGGTTCGAGTTCACATCTGAGCCGTCGCTGCTGTCAAAGCTTTCATCAGCTAAATAGGCCGGCTTCCTGCTCAACTTTCGCGTGGACGCGCTCTTCTCAGTCACTTCAACATCACTGGCGACCTCAGGAACCTCAACGACATCGTCGACTTCAGCAGCAGCTGGCTTTGGACCAAAATATTTCCTTTTCTGTCGTCTAGAACGTCCACTCGAGCTCGTTCTTCGGTTCCCCATTGTTCAAATTATTTCAAATAATTATTTTGTTCTCAAGGCAAAAAGCTAGCTGTTCAGCGCTTCTCCTTGTACGCCATGGTATCCAGTAGCAACGATTTCAAGTGAAAAACTCGCTAGTAGTACGCGGTTTCAGTGAAAATCACCGACTGCATGGAGTGCAAAATTGTACAAATTTTCGTTCCGTGCGTACTCATTTTCATTTGAATTGTTGAATTTGAAACGGTCGTAACTTTGGAACCAGTAGTCCGTTTCACCAAAAATTTTGTTTCTACACCCTATAGGGTCCGCTGGCCTAGTTGGATACCCAAAACAGCCAGAATTGAAACTTTCAATTTTTGAGTATCTGAAGGGTCATTCCCCCCTTAAGGCAAAAATTAAAATTTCACCAGTTGTAGTCTTCGGGGTGCTGAGTCGAAAGGTCGTGGTCCGAGGAAGCTGAGACGCTCCCTTCCTACTTGAATCCCAATCGAACTCGCGCACTTCCACCGAAACTGGGTGACTGCGCCCTACGAGATGGGGATTTGTATGCGAAATGTCACTAAAAGCGACATTTCGTTCTTATAAAAGCACGGATGACCGCGATTGGCCCATATGTTGTAGTCTTTTGGACGCTGAGTCGACTGGTTTTGGTCCGAAAAGGCTGCGATGCAGCGTTCCTCCTTTATTCCCAATCGAACATGGTTGAAGAAG